ACTAAAAGTGGAATTTTCGTTGTTACCCCAACCCCTGCCCTCACCTTCTCTCCAGGGTATGGAAGGGAACGTCTTTGTGGCTTTGACCATGCAAGGCTTTTCTTCTCTGCGAGGAGCTTTTTCGGTTTTGCTTTGCTTCTCCTTGGGAGTTCTTTAGCAGGAGTTGCTCTTGTGCCTCTGAAACCTGTGCTTGGTCCTGCTGCAGCAGAACACGAGTAACTGGGCTTGTACTCAGGCTGGGAAACCTGCCCCTGGATGTTCCCCGGGGTTCGCTATTAATATTTCTGTGGAATCCGTGGAGCTGAGCCTGGGAGACTCTGTTCGGATGTTGGGCCTTTGCAGTTGGCAGAAACATGATCTTCAGGATGGCAGGCCCGGCCCTAGCTGCTGTGCTATTGGGTGACTGGTGTGGAGCAGCAAGGCCACCCGCAGTTCTGCCAGGAAGGTGAGAATTCTGACAAGCCAGGCACCAGGGGAGCAATGAGAGTAGCCTGTGTCAGTGAGAGGCACTGTAAGGAAAATGCTGTTGGCTACTTCTGTTTATGATTCTCTCATTTCACCAGGCATTGCAGGGCAAGTGCCAACAGTGTACCAGTCTGCCAGTCTCTAGGGAAAACAAGCAGGCTGTCTCCCCCATCCTCAAGGAACTGCCAGTCCTAATTAAAGAGGCAGGTCACACATTTTATTTTGGTGCAAGAAAGGTAATGTGGGCAATGTGATCTTGAAGCCCTGAGACAGGAACACCTGTCATCCTGAGAGGAGGGTCCTGAGGCTGCTGGCGTCTAGAAGGTACTTGCCCTGGAAGTGAGGTCTGAGTTGTAGGATGAGCCGTCCCATTGGGAGTGTGGCATGTCAGTCATTCCATCTCCATCCCACTCTCAGGAATATGATGCCTTCAGCTTTTCTGTGGATCAATATAAGAAATGACTGTGTGTGAAGTAGCTGCATTTTCTGTTCCTGTGTTTGCACAGACCCATGCAACATACTCAGGAGACTCAGTTAGACTCAGGAGAAGTTTGCCTCTTCTCTCGATCCAGTGTGCTTATTTTTATTGGGAAGAACTTGTTAACCCCCTTGTACTTCCTGCTTAGCTGCCAGGAGTCTTCATACTAGCATTTGAGCTTAAAGCAGAAGTTTTCTTTAGCGAACATTTTCCTGTAAAACCTTTCCATTTCCAAAACCCCCTTAGAAATCATTTCTTGCCTTTTTTATTGTTGCTTAAATGGGTAAGGGCTTTACTGCAGTAGCACATGTCCTCAGCTCTCAGCTGGGCCAGTGTCGCTGGCCCCCAGATCACCCTCTGTGTATCAAGCAAGCACTTAGAAGAAGGGGTGTAAGAGTGGGAGGTCCACCAAAGTTAACTGCTGTTACTTTGGCCTGGATTCATGGTTACTTTGATAGTAGCAGGTCTGAATCCAAGGCTTTGACTTGGAGAAAGAAAACTTTATGAGAAACCCTTCTGCCATATTCCAAATTTTGGGTTGGCCAAAAAGTTTCTTTAGTTTTTTTCTGTATGATGTCTTGAGTGGTGCTTAGTTTTTAACTTCATTTGAAGCAATTTTGTTAGATTGTATTGTGACAGCTGTCATATCTATCTGTGTGCATTTAAAAAAAACTTATTCAAAATTGGTGAATTTTTGTGCAGCCATTTTAATATTGAAGGTGGAAGAAGATACCCGGCATTTTTGGTGTATTATGCTTTATTTCAAGAAAGGTAAAAGTGCAACTGAAACGTAAAAAAAGATTTGTGCGCGTATGGAGAAAGTGCTGTGACTGATCATGTTAAAAGAGGTTTCCTAATAAGTTTCTTGGGGCTATTAACATTTTGGCCAAATGATTCTTTGCTGTGGGGCTGTCTCATGCATTAGAAGATATTTAGCAGCACTTCTGGCCTCTACCCACTAGATGTTAATAGTGGGAGACAGCCAACATACTCAAAATACACAAATCAATGAAGTTATTGGTGAAAATGAAAAATGTGTCTTTTATTTTATGGAAAAAACTAAATGGACTTTTTGGCTAACCCAAAAGTTCATCCCATCTTGGGAGACCTAGAGAGACTGCATTAATAAAGTAACTGATATTCATGCAGATGTCTTAGAATTCCATTTGGTGAACTTTCTAGAAGGAAAGCAGGACAGTAGTCATTAAAGTTTAGATAGATTTTCATGAGTGATTAAAACCAGTTGCCGTATTTTTTGGACCATAAGACACACCTAGGTTTTAGAGGAAAATAGGAAAGAAAATTTTTGAAGCAAAAAATGTGGTAAAATATTTAATAACATAAATAGCATATTTCACCAGTGTAAATGTAAACAGAACTCAACAGCAGCATTAACCACCATTATTCCTCCCAAATTTGGGGGTGGGGGTACGTCTTATAGTCAGAAAATATGGTAGGTTTTACATGGGTTAGTCCAACAATCTGGAAAAAAAAATCACGAGGAAATCTTCATTCCTGGAAGGTAAACACTCCACTGAAGTACCTTACTAACAGGCTTTTGAGGCATCACCTGCCACTTGGTATCCTTGTCCAGACCAGCAGTAGCATTCTAGGTTGCTCTTCCAGGGAGGAGTTTAAATGGGATCTGCTCTATTGGCTTTGGCTGCTGCATCCTACCTCCATCACTTAGTGCTACTGAGAACTTGGGTGAGTTTTCAACATCCTTGAGCCTCTTCTACCATCTGTAAAGTAATTCATAATACCATTTCATCCCAGGATTTTTAAAGAAAAGACATGCAACAACTTCTGGCATAATTACTATCCCTTTACCATTATTACTTCTGCCGGCTTTGATCCTGGTTGGCAACTTGTTGTTCGGAGACTAGTAATTCTTGGCCACCTGTCACCTGAACATCTTCATTGGCTTCTTTCTGTTGGTAAGAGGACTTTTGGGATGCATGCAGATTTTTGTAAATTTGCAAGTTCCTGGAGTTGATGGGAGCAGATATTCTTGACTTTTCAGAATAGACCATAAGGGTTTAGTTAAACCTTTTTCACAAGGCAAAAACAGTGGTAACAGATTGTCTGTGTACACATTTGTGTTAAATGCACACACGTAAAATTTGTCTTGTGTGGGAATAATTATGATCAGTGATTTGCCCATATCTCTTCTCTAAAAATGGTCATAATTTCAGTCCTGGCTTGTGTGGCTCAGTGCTTTGAGTGCTGGCCTGTGAACCAAAAAGTTGCTGGTTTGATTCCCAGTCAGGCACACACCTGGGTTGTGGGTCAGGTTCCCAGTTGCAGGCCTGTGAGAGGCAGCCAATTGACATTTCTCTCCCTTTCTTCCTCCCTTCACCTCTCTCTAAAAATAAATAGATTTTAAAGAATGATTTTAATTTTAGACTACTGTGTACTGTGTAGGCTTCTATAGCTGAGGCAGTGATATGATTTGGTCTGAGCTTTCCTAGTTTATTAAGGGCGTGGCTGGTGTTCAGTTCTTTGTTCTCTGTATCATTTGAATTGCATGGCCTTGCTGTGAGAGGGAGGTTTGTTCAGGCATTCTCCATATAGTACTTGACTTTCCTTCCTCTTCCTCTCTGTACCTTGCTTGTCTCTTAACTTTGGATTTTCTTTAAGTGCAGTTTGGAAATATTCAGCAACATTGTTCAGTTGCTACTCTGTGTTTGTTCCTGTACCCTTGCCATCTCTGAGCTTTTTTATTCCTTATCTTGCGCCCTTTTCTGCTGAAACTTTACCAAAAAAATCTGTAAGACTACTGATTCACTACTCACTTTTGACTTCTCAGAGATAAGATACTTGGCCTAACAGTAGTGTTTGCTACTTAGGTCTTAAACCCTTGTGACCTTATTCTGTAAGCTCTGTAAGTAACTGCTATCAACCGTGTGTGTGTGTGTGTGTGTATGTATATGTGTGTATATATATATACACACACACACACACACACACATACATATATACATATATTTACATTATATATATATAATATATATATTATATATATAATGTAAAACAGTATCATATTAGTAACATACAGGGATGGGCAAAAGTAGATTTACAGTTCATTTGGAAAACAGTGATGTTTTGCATACTAACAACTGTAAACCTTTTACCCCACCCTATATATAAAGTATTTATAAACATATACGTGTGATATATACACACATATATGTATATATACACACACACATAAAATTTTCTCCTATATATAAACTTTTCAGTTCCTATATCTGAAACTAAACTTAACCGGTGACCCTGATTTAGGAATCCCATTTCAAAATTGCGTCTAACTTGTTGTTTTAGGCAAATATTTAATCACAACTGGGACTAAATTTACCTTAACGTGTACACTTAAGATTGGATTAGAGCAGCTTTTTAAACCACTATGGAGCTTGTTGGGGCAGGGATGGAAATGACAAGGAAGTTCACTGGGTTGGACCACAGGCTCCTCATTCAATCAAATGATTCTGCTTTTGTTTGTATACGGACAACTTTCGCTATTAAGCTGGAAAACCCCTGGACAAGGTGGTCTGAGATGTGCCCCAGCCTTGGCATTCTGCTGCCTCCAGCAATAGGATCTCCTTTTTGCTTACACGAGACATGGACACCTAAGCTGTATCACAAATAGGACCAAACTCCTGATGGCACTCGACTTCATCCTGTCTGGTTCTTTTTGCCAAAGATCTGGGCTGGCCTTCCCAGTGCACCTGTCTCTGCCTCTGCTCATGCTATTCACTGCAGCACGTGGACTTTTTGTAAGCTTCCCTTCTCCATCCAGTCCTTCTCAATCTTCAAAAGACTCTAGTGTAAAAAACATCCTGACCCATCAAGGAACTTTCCCCAGTTAGTTGTCCATCTTCCCCAAGTACCCTTTTCCCACTCTGGTGGCTGAGTACACTTTGCCTTTCTGGCATTTGTATTTACGTGGGAAGAGAGGGGGCAGGATCTTTTGTTTCTTCATGCAATGCCTACGGTTGTACTTTTCTCAAAGTGCCATGGATCCACCAAATGGCTCAAAAACTCTTTTCTCTTTCAGGATCGAATCATCAATTTAGTTGTTGGCAGCTTAACATCCTTATTGATTCTAGTAAGTATCTTTGTGTCTTACCCAGTCTCTTAGCCAAAGTTCTGAAAACTTTAGTATTATAGTTCAATTAACTCTCAAAAAACAAAAACAAAAATTACAAGGGGCCAGTGTAGCAGCATGGGAAGTATTCTAGTCATAGTTATATTGCTGCTTTCAATTTTATTACACGTTAAACAATACTGCAGTTTGTAACCAGAGTAAATTTTCAGCCTTCATCCCCAGTTGAATATGTGAAAGTCAAGTAAGTTTTCTCAGTTTGCCACCCATGGTAACATAAGTAACATGTCAGTTGCTACCAGCAACTCCCTTCTGTACCTAACCCACATCTCCCCCTTTTTTCTGTTAATATCTTAAGTTTATATCATTTCTTAAAGCACATTCGTTATATTTTGGTTTTAAAAGATTTGGTCAGCATGTAGTGATTTTTCACCTTGTATAATATAGCTTGGTGCTATCACAATAAAATAAAAAACAAAGCTCTATTTCCTATAGTCTGAGAATGACATTTCTGTGATACATTTTCATTAAACGTAAAAAAATTTTAGGGAAGTTTGTTTCCATGACTTTTAAAAAGAATGGGTACATTGTTGTATCTATGGCAGAAACAACTCTGTAGCCCATTTGCATAATATTGAGCAAAAACAGTTTTGGTTATATTTTTTTGTTGGAGTATTCCAAATAACAAAAAGGTTAGAACTTTCCCTGATGTAATCATCGATCCTGGGAATGAGGTGGAAATGCTTTTAATCTTTGTTAATGAAGAGTTTATTTTGAGGCTAGCTGGTTTTACTGCACTTTTTTTTGTCTCCTTCCATAAAGAGGGAAAGGTTAGAAAGAGCAAGTACTAAAAGTAACGCAATCAAGCATATTTATAAGCAACTTTATTAAACATTGCACTAACATTCTGTAAGGCAGATCTGATGGTAAATATCATTTTACAGTGTGAAGCATTTTATAATAATTAACATTGCCTAGACTCCACTCTGACAAAGTTTTGGAATTACTCCTAAGGCCTGACATAATTTCTCTTCATACAGGTAACGCTGATCAGTGCTTTTGTTTTCCCTCAACCACCTCCAAAACCATTGAATATATTTTTTGCTGTCTGCATCTCTTTGAGTAGTATTACTGCCTGCATACTTGTGAGTACTGTTTAGAATTTAAGTTGAGTATCCTTGAGGGCTGCAGGTTGCAGTGCCTAGGACAGATTCACAGACCTGAGTCTTATGAAAGGGTATCTCTGATTACAACTCTCCCCAACCCTCCAAGGATGTCAAAATTCTCAATATTAATTGTAGTGTTTTCTCTTTTAATCTGAGTTTCTTTTCTCCTAAATCCCAAAGTTGTAACCCTAAAGGGAAACTTCCCTTGATAGCTAAGAAATGGAAGGAAAGAAATAGTTAAAAAGACTCAGGTGGCCAAAGATTTGATGTAATTTACTTTTTTCAAGGACTACCTATAGGGCCCACCAGGCTTTAGGAAATGCCATTACTGTTCTTACGGGAAGAGATAAAGCACACTAGCACTCTGGATTTATTTCTAATTATTACAAAATTAATCTATTTTAATCTCTGTGTTTATCTCCCCAAATGTATCCTTGTTGCAACAAGGTTCATTTTTACTACAAAGAAGCCTTTGTTTTAGGTGAAGCAAAGATGGTTGTAGATCGATCTCAAGTTGGGTTATTTGCCAAGTGTTCGTTCAGTCATTCATTAGTTAGTTGGCTGTTGTTTCTTTGATGAGGCAGAATCAAAAGAGTAAACCTTCAAAAGCAACTGTCTTGACTCACATAGGCTTGAACTGTAATAGCAATGTGCTTATATGAGTTAAAATTAAACAGGACCTCCAGCTTCTAATGCACTGATTCTGCTATACTCCTATGATGTGAGGGAAGAATTCGGCAGTCCCACTTTGGGAGCCTTTGGAACAAAGCTACAGAGATACCCTCCTCCCACTCCCAGCCTAACGCCAAAAGTGACTAACAGCGATTTAGTTTAAAACGAATACATGCATACGTAAGCCCAATTCCGTATTGGCAATTTGAATGTTATTTGAAATTAAAAGTTGTCCCTTCCACTATCTAAAAGAATTGTATCTTTTACTCAAATAAATAGGGGTGGGCAAAAGTAGGCTTATCATTGTTCATATGGAAAAATATACACAAAAATAAATAATATATAAGAATAAACTCTTTCACATATTAACAACTGTAAACCTACTTTTGTTCAGCCTATACTTAAACTATGTCCAGATGACCCATATTCTTGGATGGTCCGCCAAAGGACTGGTGTGGATGCTGTTGATCTGAACACAGAACAACGTTAACTAGAGCAGACAGAAGCATTATAACCTTGGATGTGGAAACTCAGTTGTTACTACTTGAATTATAAAGAATTACAATTAAATTTTGGCTGCATTAATTTTCAGGAATGTAGGTTAATATAAAGACTGTCTCATTTAGGGGAAAAGGAATTAGTTGTATTTTAAATACTTGACCCAGTGGCTATTACTTAAACTTTTATTTAATTCTTCTTCTTTTAGATCTACTGGTATCGACAAGGAGACTTAGAACCGAAATTTAGAAATCTAATTTACTATATCTTATTTTCTATCATCATGTTATGTATATGTGCGAACCTGTACTTCCATGATGTGGGAAAGTGAGGCTACCAAGGAAAAAACATTTACCAGGTCTCTTCAAAGCTATGTATTAGGACTGTGAATAAGAGCTGGATGAGGTATGCTGAAGAATCGACTACAGAAGTCTGATATGATTTTCATGCTAATTGTAAATCTAAATTCCCTTTTTCAGGGGAGACATATCATAGATCACTTTGCTTTCTTTCTTTTTAAAGAAGCTGACATGGCACTTACACATTCCAACCCTTAAAAGCTCAAACAGCACAAGTAATTTTCACTTTTGAAATTGAAATCCTTTATAATGTAATTGCATGGCGAAAGGCTATGTAACAAACAATCTTGCATTTTAAGACAAATATTCTTTTATTTCTGTTAAACTGAATGTACAATTATTGTTCCCTAGGCAACCAACTCTTGCTTTTAACTACAATTTCATGTTAACAAAACACAGACGGTGAAAAGACAACTTTGATTGTGAAGATCTAATTACAATAATAAATAAAATAATTTATACAAGTTTTTTTTTGTGACTTTTCTATAGGAGTCATATGCGTTAAAGCTTTAAGAGGCTAATTTTGGCTTAACCTTCTCTAGTATAGGAATGACTCAATTTATATTTCATTTCATTACAGAAGCAAATTGTGTTTTTTAAAATTGCCCGAGAGGGAGAAATTTTATCACACCCTCCCCAGCTAATGCACTAAGTGAACAGCAAACTCTGATACCCTCCTTAATTGTTTTCTGGGTTAATTCTTATCACAAAACATGTAAGAAATAGTCACGGTATAGGATAGGGAACTTCCTTCCCATTTTGTTTCCCCTCAAAGTGCTAATTTTGTAAACTGATGACAGTGGGCTCTGAAGTGAAAACTCTGAGTTTTGACATTACTCTTATCCATATTCCCTTTAAAAGTAATAAAAAAAACCTGTAGTGAATTTTTCTAACTCTTTTAATGCTTTCCTCTCTTCCCAGCTTAAATCAGCTCTCACTGCCAGCAATCAGTAAGTAAACCCAAGGTAACTGCTGCACAATCACCTCCTAGGTCTTGTCCTTGTGTGCTGGTCAAGTCTCAAAGTAATGATTTTCCTTTTGAGGAAGGTCACTGGTAAACTCTAGACCATGCTGTGACTTCTCTGAAATATAAACAGGCCTACTTGAGATCGGATAGAGACTTCTGATCTTTAGAGGTGAATGTTACCGCTTTTGAAAGAGTAGTTAGGCTTTGGTGATTTTAAACTTTTCTCAGTGGCTAAGTGAATGGAATTCCCTGCTAACAGATGGCACTAATCACAGGGATCTATGTAGTTAAAGACCCCTGCCCCCCCCACAGACCCCACTCAAGTACATTTCCGTAAGACTAGACCTCAAATGACATTGAAAGGAGGTAAAAAGTCATAGCAGCAACACTGTATGCGGCTTAAGCACTGTAGCTGTTGAAAAGCCAGAGGAATGGTAAGTTAAGCCTCTTGGGGGTTCCTCCTATTTCTTTGGAGATGTTGTAATTAACAGTGTGGCTTCTTTGCTTGAACTACCTGTTTCTAAGAATTACCTAATGACAGTTGACCAAATCTTCAACATCCTTTGAGTCTTCTGAAACAGGACTGCACAAAGATGACCCAATGATATTTGATTCTTCTCGATGATGTTGGAGTATGGGATCTGTAATGAGTTAAGTTTCAAGATACTGTTAAATGTATATAATGTACATATTCCCTAATCTACATCAAGAATTTAAAGTAAGTATTCTACTAAAGTGCAAAATTTAGCAGAAAGACTAATCTTTATTGCTGGTTCAAGAAAGACTTAAACAACAGAATTAAATATGTAACTGCCTGATTTTCTCTTTAAGACTTAGCAAGCACACCATGGACTTGTACGACAGTACCTGTTAGTGTTGTCAAAGGCAAGACAGATTCCGTATCTATAACGTCAGATGCTTGGATAAAGCCATGCGGTGAAGGAACAATAAGTATCGTTTCATCATCAATTGTTTGATCAACTTGTTCTTCTATAGCAGAAGACTCTAAATCCTAAATAATAATTAAAAAAAATGAGATTCTGTCTCATACTCCTTATTAGTTTTCCTTAAGATCCCAAACACATTTAGGTTTCAAAGGACTTAACTTTCAAATATTATCCCATTTTAAAATTAAAATTTAAGAAACAAAAGGTCTTAAAATGGACAAAGTAGTAACTTTATACTTGAATAACAAAAAATTTAAAAGAACCAATTCAGTTATAGGTCCCCTGAATATAGAATAATGCTCTTCTGTAGCATGAGGTTCCTACGTTAAACCACAAAGATTATTAACCACCCTCAGGAAAATGCTTCCATGGGTTCCAACAAACATTTCCAAGGGAAAGCTTTTAGTGAGGACAGTGTGGTAGGACAGGGCAACGCTGCTGGTTGACTGACATTTGTGAGGTCAGAGGTGGGGTTTGCACTTTCTGTCTAAAGAAAAAACAAAGCACCACAGGATATCACCCCATAAATTATTTCTAGGTTCTTTCCAAACTGCAGGTGGAAGCTCAAGGCAAGAACCCGTAGGCTTTTCTCTTAAGTGCAACTTACCTCAGTAACATAAGCACAGGCTAAATGAGAGGGTGATTCCTCCTCTTGTTTAAGGTCTTCTTCTGTTCTGACCATAACACTATTCATCAGTTCTGTGCTATTTTGGTCACTGAATTTGGATACATGAGCATCATTAAATGATGGCTCTACAGTCACCTTAGGTTGATGAATTTCATCTGGGAAAGTGTCTGCTTCTAGGGCATCTGGAGGCTCAGGAAAATCAGATGAGTGAATATCACTATCTACTGTCAGTTCTGCTTGGGATATGGAAGAAGTGATGTCCTCTGTGGCAACTGTCTGAATGATGACTCTTGGTGTGTGACACTGCACTGTAACATTGTCACTTGTGTTCAACAAATGCTCTGGCTATAAAATGTTAAAAAAAATGATCAATGGCAAAAATAAAAAAAATACCTACCATATTCAAATTATAGGCAACAAAGGACATTTATAGGTGCTAATACGGGCTACTGTTCCTCCCACCTCTCACCTCTGGAACTGCAGTGTTCTTACCACGATTTTTCTAGAAAACCTTTCTTTGCCTATGTGGGCCTTTGCTCTCCTAATGTCCCCATTCCCTTAATTTAAATCCTTCACATGTAAGGAGACACAGGGAGTGAGCAGTCTACCCTAGTGAAGGCAGAATGGAAATGTAAAACATTACTCCTGGGACAACAGTAGTACAAAGAATTGTTTAAATAAATGGACTGGATTAGTTTTGCCTCTTATATTTTATATCACCTAACCTTAGTCCTTAATAGGTGCTCAAATACTTGAACTGAGCTCGTAACAGACCCTCCTGCTGCCCCTCTCCTGGCGCCCCCCCCCCGCCCCGAGATAATGTTACTGAAGGCACATGGGTTCTATCACAGTACTGGAAACTAGAAAAACATGGTGATGCTTGTCAGTTAGCCAACCTTCTTTACAAAAACTAGAAAAATCAAGCAATTTACGTAAGGTAACATACGGATACAGCATGAACAATGATCTGTTCAGGAGAAGCAGGAGCAGTAGCCGTCACGGTTACTGTGGGACTAGCAGTCAGAGTGAGAGGCAGGCCTTGGCTTGAGCTTGTTTGAAGTAGGTAGGTACCTGGAGTCCCAGTGGGCTGTAAATGGAAAGACTAAAAGAAAAAGAAAACCAAGATCAACACAGGTGCAATACACCATTAAATAAGTAGTCTTACCTAGTACTCATTAAGTCTAGCTTTATATCCAAAATGGGGACTGACTTTAATTTACTAACCAGTAATGTCCTTACCAATTGTGTAGGTGTGAACAAGTAATAAAATGAAGGATATGGTATCCTTGACTTTGTCTTAAGCCATTACTTGGCCTGGAGTGAAAAACAGAGGCAAGGCCTTTAGCTTGCTGTTCGCTCTCTCTGTTTCTGTTGTCTGGTCTTACTCCTTTCATGCCACGAAGACATGGTCACATAAGCTACTGTTTCCAGTGTGGTAACCAGTACACTCAATCTGCCCTCATTATCCTTTCTCTGCAGCACATAAAAACTGGCAGTCTCCCAGTTTAAGAAGTTTTCCATTTTTGAAAAGGCACTGCAGCAGTGTTACTTAAACAGATCTTTTTCACAGTGTGCTTTTAACAAATATTTTTTATATTAGGAGGAAACATACAGAAATAGCAATTAGCAGTGTTCTGCTTAAGGAAAAAGAAAATTCCTATTTGAAAAGCTGACAAACAGAAAAATACATTTAGATTTTTGAGTACAGAAGTATAACTATAACTCAATACCCATACACCTTTCACAGCCATAAGCTTATATATATAAATTTGAGTTCTAAAGGAAAAGTATTGGGTTGGCCAAAAAGTTAGTCATTTTTTTCTCATAAGATAGCTCTAATAGTGCTTAGTTGTCTTAGCTATATTATGACAGCTGTCATATCAGTGTGCATTAAAAAAATCAAAATTGGTGAACTTTTGTGTAGTCATTTTAATATCGAAGAGGGAAGGAAATATACAATGCGTTCGGCATGTTATACTTTATTTCAAGAGAAGTAAAAACAACTGAAATGCAAGAAAAGGATCTGCACAGTGTATGGCGAAGGTGCTGTGACTGAACATGTCAGAAGTGTTTTGCTAATAAGTTTCTTGGTACTACTGACATTTTGGCCAAATAATTCTTTGCCATGGGGCTGTCTCATGCATTGGAAGATGTTGAGCAGCACCCCTGGCCTCTACCCAGTGAAGCCAATAGTAGGAAAAAGCCGACATACTCAAAATATCCAAATCAATAAAGTTACTGGTGACAATGAAAAACGTATCTTTTATTTTATGGGAAAAACTAAACAGGCTTTTTGGCCAACTCAGTCTTTGCCCTTAAAATAGAGTGGGAATCACAGAACCAGTTCTTTAGCATGGTGTGGTTTTGTGGATGTAAGCCACACTGCCCTCCTGGGTAGAGACTCACTGGAGTCGAGGTTTCTGCACTGCTGACGTGAGGAGTGCTCATGGCAAAGGCTGTGAGGATCAGAAATGATTACAATGGTGCCTGATACACAGCGGGCACTTGGTTGCTTTTTTTTGGCCCCATAAAAGTGAAAGCTGTTTTCCCAATGGTTGTGTTTATTAGTCACATGTGGTCACACACTAAATATTTTATAAGTACATGTACATTATAATACATATACTTTACTTAATATACATTCAATGCTAACAATTGGTTGAGGTGGAGGCACTGTTATCCTCTATGAATAAATCAGAAGTGTCCAAATATTTGATTCTAACCTGGTAATTAAAAGTGTGAACCTCAAATATATGTTTATACATTGTTTGCCAGGGGAAGAGAAAGGTAGAAAGAAAGAAAAAGGATGTTCTATTTTCTACTTATGAAAAATGGTTACCTTACACATCCCTATTTTGTAGACCACTGGATTAGGAAGCTGAGGCTTAAATACACTAGTAGAAGTCCCAAAGTCACTCTCAAAGAGAACTTTTTGTTGTATTGGCCATCCTTGTGAGACTGGGCTGTGGAAAAGATAAACTGGCACTAATGTCCCTTATGTTCTTCATAGCAAATCTTCACGTAATAAAAAAAAAAACACCCTATTTTATATTTATGAAAATTGAGCTAATTCTGGCTTTACCCTGTTTTAGAAAGCAGGGCAAGGACTGGGAATTTAAAAACAATTTCCATTACCCCCAAAAGAAACTCTTTCAAATTAGCAGCCATGCCCCTTTCTCTGTACCTCTTAGTATAGACAATGACTAATCTACCTTCTGTCTGAATACGTTTGCCTATTTGGATGGTTCAAATAAATGGCAGTCCACGCTATATGGTATTTGTGTCTAGTTTCTTAGTATGTTTTCAAGGTTCAAACTGACTGTAGTATGTTATCAGTACTTCGTTTTCTTACTGCCAGATTTTCGTTTGTATGCCTCTGAAGGACATTTTAACTTACCCACTTATCAGTGGATGGACACATGAGTTGTTTTCACTTTTTTGTTACTATGAATATGAACATGCATGTATAAGTTTTTATGTGGACATGTTTCGCTTAGGGGTATCTGGGATTAGAATTGGGTCATACAGTAGCTATATTTTTAACCTTTTCAGAAACTGCAAGATTGTTTTTTCAAGTGGCTATACCATTTAAAACTGGGACTTTTAAATTCTGTATCCCCAATGGCTAGTATAATGTTTCCTGAATGGATACTGTTAAATAATGTATTCCACAAACTTTTGCTCAAATAACCAATATGAACCCTTTGGTTTTATATTTGCTTATGACTCAATACAAACCTACAGCATGTATGTACCCTACTCATTTGCATTGTCATTTTCATATATAAAAAGAACATATTATTGATTTATATATAGATGAAGCAAAACACTAAAAAATTACTTATAAAAGTGGAAGTCTGATTTATGTTGTCTTCTAACTAGCCTCAAAACCATGCACTTAATGCCAGTCACGTTTTTATATTTCATTTGCTTATACAGTATGTGACGTTTCTAAAACTGATACCAACTGATGTTATGCACACAGATGGCTGATATCTACTTTGTGAGGTATTACTCACTGGAAGAATCTCAAACGTTTGTAGAGTTCCACTGTTTAGTGTTATGGTTTCCGAGTCAACAGTAGCAGCAGGGGAGTCTGTTGAGGCTGTGGTAAGAACAAGGACAACAACAAAATACTTTGTAAATTATTATGAAGGCAATCTCATACCGAATAATCTGCCTGGGAACCTGAATTCATTTAAATGTCTTATGAGATATTAAGAAATACAATGGATTTATCTGGGATGGCATAGATAAGAGGTTGACAAACTATGGCCCACAGCCAAATACAGCCCACTACAAGGTTTTGTAAATGTCCGCACATGTTTGTTCATGTTCTATGGTTGCCTTTGCACTACAATGGCAAGAGCTGAGTAACTGTGACAGAGACAGTATTTGCTAACCCCTGGTATGGATATAAAGTATTTCTAATGTTAGGAAGTAAGAGGAATACACTAAGGCTAACTTGTGAAGAGATAGGAACTTGGACATTCTGGGAAGCAGTACAGATGTCTAGAATGGTAGACATCCCCAAAACACTAGGTTTTAGGTTCTGGTGGCATTGCTTCCTAGCAATGTAAACCTGGACAAGTAACTTACTTTAACTCAAACTAATGTTCAGAGCCTTTATCTGTCTTGTTTATCTCATATAGTTGTGAGGATCAAAGGCAAGAGACAAACAGAAGTTATATTTCAGAATCACCTCATCTGGGAGGCTGATCTCCACTTTAGAGATCAGAAAGTATAATCTCTTTATAGGTGTCAACTGAGGCTCAGAATTCATCAGTGTCTGCTGAAGGTTACACAGAACCAAGACTTACTAGAAGAAATGTGATCTCTTTTGGTGCTTTCAGTTGCACCTGTAGGTAAATCCATCTGAAAAAATTATTTGGAATTGACTTTTCATGTGGAGTGTTTATTGTTAGTTTATTATATTCTGACTACAAAACTTTTAAGTTTGAAAGAAATGTAACACCTTTACCAAGACAAATGGGCTTCATTTGTGTTATTTCTCTTATTATTTGATGGATTCATAACACCACGCCTAGAATATCTGAAGTGATTTCAGATAAATAACCTAAATCAAGGGTAAGAAAACTCTGGCTGCAGACAAATGTGGCTTGAAGCTAAGCTATGCTGTGAATGAATATTAAGTTATCATTTATAAAATGTTTGCTGTTTCCCCAAAAGGTATTGTCAACTCAACAGTCAATGAACATTATAGCAATCTCCATGTATAATCCATCTATAGCCAACAGTAGCTCTCATATTTATGGTGGACCAGTAATTTCAGTTGCTTTGCAATTCTCAAGAGTATAAAAACAAGCAATGCCAAAGAAAATTCTTCAGGCCTTATTACACTGTAGAAAGCTAAAGCAAATAACCAAATTTAAATTAGAACTTTAAGAGTAAGACAGGCATGATTAATTTAAATGTCTGTAAGGTAACTTTGACAGTCATTACATATACAGGTGTGTAAATTATGTAGGTGGCCCAGTGATTTTCAAACGGGATCATAGGGTTCATTCATCAACTTGGATATACATTTCTATCAACATTCTAGAACACTGAAAGGTGTTAGTCATTAACCAAATCATATAGGTCACATAGCAAGGAGACTTGAGGTCCAAACACTTACAGACATGGGTAATCTGGACCGGAATCTGCAAGGCTGTCATGGGGCTTGGAGAGATGGCCGTGTTGTCTTCCAAGCGGGCGACTCTGATCTGAACGTGCTGTACACTGGAATTGGAATTACTGTTTGGAACTCCAGATCCTGATTTACTCTCCAAAAGTGTCGGGTTGTTTTTCTGATTCTCATGTAACTGTTTCAGACCCTTTATTAAGACTAAAGGGAGATAGGTGGACAAAAAGAACATTGATTCTCTGAAAGACCACCATCTATGCAGCAAGGGAGGTGGGAGGTAAGGAGATAAAGTATTTGGAATAAATAATTGTATGCTGTATGAGAAATCTTACCAAAATAATAAAACATTTTTAAACTACAACTGTCTGGAAATTTTTGCTAATGTTCTCCATCAGAACAAAAAGACATCTCCATACAGATTAAAAATTTTATAACATGATATTGTTCTTGCCATCTAAGATGCACTGAAAAATAGCCATTGTCAGGAACATGGAAATAGGACATTTTCTGTGTTCTAGTGATTCTTCATAAAAACTTTTTTAAAAATTTGTTTTTAAAAATTTTATTTATTCATTTCTAGAGAGAGAGGAAGGGAGGGAGGAAGAGAGGGAGAGAAACATCAACGTGTGGTTGCCTCTTACGTACCCTCTTCTGGGACCTGGCTCACAACCCAGGCATGTGCCCTGACTGGGAATCTATCCAGCGACCCTTTGGTTCGCAGGCCACTGCTCAATCCACTGAGCTGCACCAGCCAGGTTCATAAAAATTATTATTATTTAGGAAAGACATTGGTAATGCTAAATAGCTTATTTTCATTTTAAAATGAATAGTGTACTTTCCCACCAAGGACTCAAGGGCTACTGACTTAACCATTGCAAGAACATAATCCATTGACTCTGAACCTAACTCACAACTCTAAAACAGCAGCTATCTTTTCCAAACAATATGCAACCACCTTGAGTTCTTGTACAGGAAACCCAATTCTATACTTCCTCTCCTCTGCTAGTCATGACAGACTACATCAATCCCCCGCAGGTGATGCTGCAATCTGGCTGGGTTCATGTTATATTACTATTCACTCATTGTTTTGGTTTTATCAGATTTATAAATTTATAATGGTGTATTTAATTTTAAAAAAATTTCATCAAGCCAAATTTTCTCAACATCTAATTTTCCTGTGGAAAAATGGGCACTGGAGAACACTGGACACTAAGTGGAATAAATCTGACTAAGTTAAGTAAATTGTACAACTTAGTTTAGTGCCTAATGCACAGCAGGCAAGTGAAAAGTATGCTATGTCTCACTTTTAAGCAATCCCACCTTAACATCTCTAGTTTATGTAACATGAAATTAGAAGTTTACAGAGCCTTTGTTCCACAAAATAAATTATGGCAGAATTTCTCTACATTACAACTTAAGATATTTGAAATTACTCAATTCATAAAAGTTGATTAAATGTCAGTTTTCAAAAATTTATCTTTGTACACTGAAAATGTATGTGTAAAATTTAGTTTCTTTTCATAGTTTGTGTGAAAGCAAGAATGTGTATATTTTTATTTTAGGTGCCCTGAAAATTACCAGTCACATCAAACTTATTTTCCAAAGAAACAGGGCTAAAGGTTTAAGTGAAAAGTCTATGACTCATATCTCTTTAGCTGAGACAAAGAACTTCTAACCTCTAGCTCCTGAGGAGTAAACATGGTTAAGACAAGGGAAGGACTTAAGCACATGTTACCTTACCAGGGAATGAAACATCTTTGTGGTTTGCAATTTGCCTTTTGATGGTCCACCATTTACTCCGAAGCCACTGTGGTGAACGAACACTGCTCCATCCCTCTGCTAATAGATCCCAGTTTATGTCATTTTCATCAGCCACATCAAGCTCTGCTATCCTACAGGTTACAAAATAAGCACCTGTTAGATGTTAATTTATTTCTCCATAAGAACCTTCCTCCGACTTCTCATGATGGCTCTGGAGAGAAAGGAATGGCGGGGTTGTCAATGAGATGCTATTGTTATGTTGGGAAACATAACAATAGGAACTATTTCATAGTTCTTAGCTCCTACAATCCTGAAATAGCCTTTCCTTAATGGTACAACCAATGGGCTGAATTATAAATGAACCAGATGAAGCACTGGGAAGGAAAAGGAGTAGGTAAAGGTTAGAATAGGTCAGAACAGGTTTAACTGTATAGTGTTTTACAGTGTCATACAGTAAGTTATTTCCAGGATCTGAGCTTTTCCATTTGTAAAGTTTAAAAAAAAATTTAGAAATGAGCTATTTATGAAGACTAGTTTTAAAAATCTATTAAAAACAAAACCCAAAACAAAATGGCAAGACAAAAACAATACTCCAGCAGCAACCAAGCCCCTCCCTGTCAAATTCCCAAAATAAAACCCAACTAAATTTGGGATTTTAATGGTTTCTTTCTTTTCTAGTTTTAACTGTCATGCCAATGTTAATTTTCAGTAGGGAGCAGCTGCAGTGATAGCTTCTATTAATTACTTCAATGTCTCAAATATTTTCTTGCTGGTATTTTTGCCTATTTGAGTCACTGGTCTTAATGGTTAAGCCAACTAATTAAAATAATAAACTTGGGATTACTGTCTTAGTTATTTTTTGATAGGTATGAAATGGCAGTGTCTGCTCTAGCCCAGTGTGAAGGCGTGGGTAAACTGCAGACTGGATCCCTTTCTTTGTGGTCCTAGCACAGCAGCCAAAGACCAAGGGCAAAGAGACTGAACGGCCCCGCACCCACAGTGTGGCCCCTAGGCTAGGAATGAGGCACACTGCTGGGACAGAGGAAAAGCTGCACTGCTGCTGCCTGTGCCACACCTGTTCTGTGGATGCAGGGCTTCAATCTCCATGCCTTTAATCTGGTACTTTGCACAAGCAGTAAAACCACCAAAAAGGAACAAACACAAAACAAAAAAGGGCGCAAAATGAAATAGGATCTTAAACAGTGGCTTTCTAATGAAAAAGACACTTTTCAGACATTAGGCACCTAGGGAAACCAAAAGAGGACAATCAGTCAAGACACCCAACAGCGATTAAGCAGCTTTTGCCTTGAAAAGATTTAGGATACAAACCTGAGGATGAGATTGATTTCATCTTCCTTGGTCCACTCAGTACCTCCACTCTGTTTCCAGTTCAGGTAGTTGAGCCATTTAGAACGACACTGCTTTTCTGAGCGGGTACCCACTCGCTCTGCCACCGCTGCCCAAGACACACCCTGTGTGACAATGTCACCTGGCTCAGTGCTTGTCAATTCATGAACCACCTCTGCAAGTCTCTTTTCTTCTTCTTCTGTCCACTTCCCTGCAAGAAGAAAATCATCCAGAATACTACTGCTACGTTCTTCTTTTTTCTTTAAAAATTAGACTCAGCCTTGTATTTCCAAGGACTGATGGGAAGTAGGCAGTAGTACTAAAAGTATTTCTGAGTGACACTCAGGTAGGAAACTACATATAGGACAGTTGCATTTTACTAAACCAGTCAGGTTCTTAGTACAAAAGAAAATAGAGAATCCTATCAGAAAGCACAAACTGACTCTTTAAGAAAAACTATCTAAAATGTTACTAGAAAGAATTATGTACTCTCAAGTTATACCAAGTCCTAAGTGGGAAGAGCTCCAGCAATAGCTTGATGGACACAGAAACTCTTACTTTTACCTTAGGCTCAGCTAAGCGTCCCTGCTCTGCAGAAGTGGCGCGGACTCAACAGAGACCTTATTTAGAGGAATAAATGGTGAGGGGAAAGTGGAATAACATGTATGGCCTCCTGCCCATTTTGGTAAATATAAAGACAGGTTTATGCCATCTCCTTTCCCCATCTCCTTATTCCAACTCCAAGCTACTGTGATGAAATGTAAGTATGAGACTGGTATTCACACGTATTTTTAATTCAGGTTTTTCTGAACTCATAAACCTACTAATAAAAGGTAATGTTCCTCTTGGTCTTTTCTTAACTAGCTTGAGTAGAAAAATGGGAAAAAACCTTCTGTTTCCATTTTGTTAATAGTAGCTAAAGACTTCTGGAAACACAAGTGTTAAGTGTTTGCTTCAAAGACTCATTTAATCAACAAATATTTACTGCCTGTATTATGTGCTAGGTCCAGTCTGGAAACCATGGATTCAAGACAATGACCCGCTCTCCTATTTTAGCATGGTAGGAAAGAAAGGGGAAACCGAGGCTGCTGTCTCATGGTGTGGTACAAAAGAGAACTCTTGATCAGAAACAATATGCAGCAACACAGAAAGTTAAGGTGCAGATCAATCCCTCAGGCTGGCTATCAAGGAAGCATGTTTGTCCGGATTATGTTTACGAAGGGGGTTCTGCACGCACAGCACCTTACGTAGACCTCTGGGGTACATCCCACACCTAAAGTTCCCACTCCTGCCTCATTAAGTTGTCGTTAACCAGAGACTGAGAGTTGGTAGGATTTATGTCTTCATCACTTTGCAGCTAATAGTGCTGGTGGGGTGGTTAAACAGGAAATATTACTGATCCCACTTCAGTGGTGGGGCGGGGGTGAGGAAAGAAATTTATTTCCTGGAAGCTCAAGCTTAACTTGAGAACTGTTTTTCTTATTAAAAGACTGATGAGAGACTTCAGAGAACATTAGGGCTAAAAGGAAATTATGACACCACCTATTCTCTTCATTTTACAGAGAAAACAGGCTCAAAAGGTTAAATGCAAGTTTAGTGGCAGAGCCTACATATTGTTGTTAGTCACAAAATTTACATTTACCAGTGCTATCTATATGTACATATACATTAAGGGTTAAATAGGCATCTGTGATTTGGCCTAGGGACTGAAACACCAATTATAGGTTTTTTTTCTATGGAAAAATTTACTTTATTTTAAAATAAGCAAAATGCATAAAAACCATTAAACACAGCTTTTAAGCTAGGACTTGCTTGGAACCAAAGTTTTTCATAAAGATGAGTTGATAACCCATTGTTAACAAAGTTCAACAGAAGATCTTAAAATTACTTCTGCCTTAAAAATACGTGTCTATAATCCTTGAAAATAAATGTCTTCCCAACTGGGGCAGTTCTGAATTGCTCCAAAGTAGAAATATGCTAGATTAAAACCTATGCAATTGAGACGCTGTTGTCTCGGTGAACAGTGTCACTTTTATGCAAAAGCACAAAAATAAGGAATTAGTTGGCTCTATTAAGCTTGATGAAAAAGACTAGAAAATAAGATCTGAGCTGAAGTGAATGACAATTTTCTTTCCAGAACAGAAGAGAAAGGTATCTGAAGGGGTAAGAAACTCAAATGTGACCAAAACCCCCCACCAGCAGCAGTCACAGTACCTGTGTTGCAAGTATCCTTCATCAGTCGGCACCGATCTTTGACGGAAGAGGCACTTCTTCCTAGCGCCGCCCCTATTGTTGCCCAGTCATTGCCATGCTTTATCCGGAGCCTAAAACAAGAGTCTGCCAATCAGCATTGGGTTCAACTGTTTTCTCCCTTTTAATTTCATCATTTATTCTTCATTCTTCTTCTTCCCATTTGACTGGTTTGCAAGTTGTGGGCAGCAATACTTTGAGAGCCAAAGTTTGAAAGTGTGGCCTTTTTTGGGGGTCCACAGTTGTCTGTGGGTGAAAAAAAGACAGGCAGCAATTGCCTTTTTCCTGGGTCAGAGAAGAAATAAGTAACTTGGATATGTGTTCAAAAAAGACCAAATTTCCCCTCAGGTTACTGATACAATCTCCCAGGCAATCCCCAGATTTTTCACTTTTGAATATTCCCAACAAGCTCTTCTCAGATATCTGAAAAAGTTTCGTAAGTCCTTATCATCATAAACAGGACCAACCTTCAACTTTTTTCATGATCCATACAACATTAATCCATACTTTATGGTCCTAACTCCATGAAGCAAAATTATGTCTCCTGTGAAACAGCCTTCAGAGGTAGCAATTAAGGGAAACAGCCCAGATGTTCAGTGAAACACTGCCAAGTCACTTTCCGAACTGAGCTATGCACAACCTTGGTTCTGATCCTGGTGTACAGGTTCCCCAGATTTAGGCTTATGGCCACCAAGGATGGCCATCTGATACCTTCTGTAACCCCCAATAATGGTCTAAGGATGCATTTGATTTGTTAACTGACAATAGGAGGGCACTAAATTTACAGGCATGGCTACTCTGCAGGTATAGAATAGTAAGTTCTTTTCATGGTCAATCATGCTTAACAGCAGGGTTAAGTTAGACCAGTCTACCAAAAAATCTCTTGACATTTCAAAGTAAAATTTTAAAAATATATAAGACAAAATAATAATAATAGAACTCAACTATCAGAATTAGTGAATAAAAAATTTTAAACTTACTCCTTGAGCCTTTCAATTTCTTCAGGTGTATATCTAGAAATTTAAAGAAAGTTTAAAAAAGGATCAATGAAAACAGAATGCTAAAAACTTAAATAAAAATCAGAATTTCAATTAAAGAGTCAAATGTTAAGTCACTTAACATACTGATAGTATTTTCAAAGTAACCAATTTCAAAGCAGATCAATAAAAAATAATGCTTCTATTTTTAAAAAAACTAAGAATACTTTTAGCTATAATGAAAGTGAGCACTTTCCAGTTTTCTCTAAAATTCATTATTTAAAACATATTTGCTCCTATGCTGTCTAACTGTTCCTATAAAAGTTTGGTTCAGGTATCTAATGTCATAGCAATTCTGAAAGACTTATTGATGACATTGTAAACCAGAGCTAGAAAGGAAATCTATGGTAAATTCTCATAAGGCACTAAAAAATTCTCTTCATTTTCTCTACCCATGCATGGACAGCTGACATGCTCTAGCTCCAAAGTAGAGGCTCTTTGTTTTAGTGGGCAAGTATGCAATATAGTCAATGCAATGCTCTTTTTAAAAAAGAGTATCTAGTAAGCAAAACATTATACTAACACCTAAAATTCCCAGAGAAAATAAAAATATGTCAGAGCACCATATAATCATTGCATTGAAAATATGATGCCTTCCTAAGTGATCTATAACAGAAATCCATGCACTGTATCCAGAAATTTAGTTATTTAAAAAAACAAGTCACTGAACTAGGAAAATGGTACACTGTTGATAGAAAAATGAATAGGAAAAATGTTAACAATGAATTTTATCGAGTTCACTTTCTAAATCTTTAATTACTATTAGTTTTTATAATGTTACTAGTAAGCTGACTTTGACAAACCTATATAAAGTTATTTAGATTTTAATTTCTAAAAGGGACCTTAATTATAAGGAGGTTTCACCACATCCACAACATGGACCTGGAGAAACAACCCAACAGTAATTCACAGTATAGCTGTCTCAATTAAGGCTGTGGTCATAACTCTATGTAAAAGAAAGAAAAGAGAATTTCTTAAATATTTCCCCTAATTACATGAAATCATGCAGCATTACAAGTTTTCATACTTTCCCACATGGTTTCTGTCATCATACATGCGAAGCACTCTTCTATAAACTGCAAACAAAGGCCGGTTCAGACCCCATGCTATAGTCCTGTAGAAATCTTTTCTTTCGTCTTTTGACATCTCAAAGATGATTTCTGTAGCATCTTTTATTCCGCGTGCCTAAATGGGTTACATTTCTTTGATTTAGGGTTTTCTGATAAAATGCATATGGATATACTATACTTTTTTATAGTATTTTTAAAAGATCATCAATGGCATTTTGAAAAATAATGTACCGCTAATTCATTAGTAAGTATAAACTTCAAAATGTTGCATGATAATTAAGACTTAAATGTTCCAAAAATAAATTGTACAAAATTCAGTGAAGTCATGTTCTCTCAACTCCTTTTAAAATTATAAAAAGTTAAGATCTAAAGAAAGTAAAAGGAAGAAAACCATAAGAACAGTATCAACAGAATCAGGAATGAAAAATAGAAAGGATAAGCAATGCTAAAAACTGGTTCTCTGAAAAGATCCATTGAGACTAATAAAATACAAGACAAAGTTATGGCAAAAGTAGGGAAAAAAGGACAAAACTATATTAGAAATAAAAAATGGGGCGTACAGAGACTAGACAATTGAACATTCTGAAAATTTTATGACAATAAATTTGAAAACTTAGATAAAATGAATTCCTAGAAAAAGTCAACTTACCAAAACTGACTCAGGAAAAGTATCTAATAAGCACAGACCATCAAGAAAATTTGATCAGTTATCAATAATGCAAACCACAGTGAAATCATGAAAATCCCAGGCCCAGATCAGTTTATAGGTAAATCCTATCAAACAGTCAAGAGAAACATAATTCTGACTTTATTCCAGAGTAAAGAGGAAAAGGGGGACACTTCCTGGTTCATTTTATTAGGCTAGCAAAGCCTTAATAGCAAAAGCAGACAAGGACAGTTTCAGAAAATAATTTTCAGCCTAAGCTCATTTATTAACACAGATTCCCCAAATCCTTAAAAGAGTTTTAGCGTGCTGAACCCAGCAATATATAAAAAATATATTACATCTATGGGAAAAGTGAGCCCATTCCAGTAATACAAGTTTGTGTTAATTTCAGAAAATTAGTATAATTAATCACATGAACAGATTTATGGAAAAGAATGTAAAATCTCAGTTAAGTGTGAACAGAGCATTCACAAAATTCAATATTCATATGAGAATACTCCTAGCAAGTTAGAATTTGCTGATAGTCTGATAAAAGAAAAATACATTTGAAAGTATGAAGACTGGAAATGAGTCATTTACAGACTATATATATAGTCTGTAAATGACTATATATCTATATCTATATATAGATATATATATCCCAAAATCTATAAAACTTACTTGATTTTAAACAGTATTTAGCAAGGCTAGTGGTTACAAAGTCAATATACAGTCATTTGCATTTCTATATGAAGCTCATAAAAATCTTTAAAAGCTCTCATTTACAATAGCATGAAAATTAAAAGTATTAGGATTAAATCTTAGGTAAGTTAGGCAAGCCCTATGAAGGAAAACATAAAACTATCAAAAAAATTTAAAGAGGAGCTAGCTAAAATAGAAAGCTATACAATGCTCTTCAACAGGAAGATGGAATATTGTAGATGCTAATTCCCCTGAAACTGACGCACAGACTCAATGCAGTCCCAATAAAAACTCCAAAAGCTTCCCATTCTCTGCATGCTCACTCTAAATTTATAATGGAAGAACAAAGGACCAAGAATATCTATGAAGAGACTTTCCCCATTAGATACTTGGACTTTTGAAGATAGTGCTGCACGGGTGCAGGTAGCAACAAACAGAACCTGGAACAAATTAGAAAACCTAGAAACAAATCTGTAGAAGCTTGACCTAGGACAGAATGGACATTGGAGATTGGGAAGAGAGAGAAGGAAAAAACAGGCCACTAAATTAGATGAACTATCTGTAACACAACTGAAAAACCATTAGTATCTGGCATAGGTTGAGTACATCTAGAAAAAGAAAAAACCCATAGGAAAATTGGACAGGATTTTCAAAGAGGAAACACAAATGTCCAATAAAAACATAAAAACATGTAATTCAGAAAAGTACAAATGAAAGTCATAGTAAAAATACCACCCACACCCACCAGATTTGTATGAATTAATAGCAAAAAACAAAAAGAACTCATTGAGGGACTGGGTGAAAAAGATGAAGGGAATAAGAATACAAATTGGTAGTTACATAATAGTCATGGGAATGTGAATACAACATAGGGACTATAGTCAATAATATTTTAATAACTATGTGTGGTGCTAGGTGGGTACTGGAAATACTGGGGGGAATCACTGCATAAGTTATATAAATACCTAATCGCTATGCTGTACACCTGAAATTCATACAAAATAATATTAATGTAAACTGTAATAGAAATAAATTTTAAAAACGTAACCCCCCCCAAAAAACCTAAAAGACCATTAACTATGAAATGGATGACCTATCGTATACATATCTTGCATAATAACATACGGCTAAAGAAATCCAACAGGGCATTGATTTCAAAATAATAACATCTAACAAAAGAAGTTACATAATTCCTAGAGAATTCACCTATTTAGAAAAAAATTAAAAACAGGTATAATTACAATGATATATATTTTATATACTCTCTTGAATGTATAAAGTCTGTACCAACTTAACTATAAAAAGTTTCTAAATTTTAGAATCTTTTTCTAAAATTCTTTTGTTTATGCAGTTTCAATTCTGTACGGGATTAAACCTAAATATTTACTGGGCATTGTGTTGCAGGATAACCATCGAGGTGAGACAAAAAGACTCTTTGTTTTCACTTGTGGCAGTTTCTTTCATTTATCCTTTTACCCAAAATATGAAATACATGACATCTAAATACTTGGTTTTTAAAATGTCTCTACCAAGTCCTTAGAAGAGCACCACATAATAAAAACTATGGTCAAAAATCAAAGTCAAATAAGTTATCTGTTCTCACAGTCTATATCTTTTTAGACGTTTTCTGTTTCTGCCAATCCTATCCTTATTCTCTCAAGCATCCAAAATGAGAACTCTGTTCAGTTATTCTAACTCTTCATTTCCTTCTCCCTACAACTTCCTTTTAGACTACTTGCTTAACTGCCCTCTCCCTGCCAATTCCATTTCTATCACTGTAGTTTGAAGTCCTTACTATTCTCACCCAATCAACTGAAATGGTCATCTAAAAAGTCGCAAATTTTAGTCATGTTCCTTCCCATGAATAATAAAGTTGGGAGGGTTTTTGGAGATCATCTATTCCAATCCCCTAGAAAGCAGCCAGGTGCTTAAATTCCTAAAGTTCAGTGTTCTTACCTCTCATTACTTGTCTTATCTAAACCCATGCATTTTCTCCCAGTCTTAACTAAAATGTATGTGACCAGTGGTCAACTTAATACTCTTTTGGATATATTTTAATTTTTTTTTTCCTTGGATAGATTTTTAACAGTCACTGTATTTCTGTTTCTCTTAAAACAATCTGCTTAATGGGAAAGATCTTTGTTCATTGAGAAAGAAAAGTTTTTAACTGTTTATAGTTTACAAACCTTTGTTTGGGAAGGATGCAGCTTAAAATTAAGCTAAGAATGTGGTCTTTCCAGGCAGCAACCTGTTTTAGCCAACTTAGTATCAAATAGAATGACTACATAAATACTATACACCTACCATTCCCAAACGATGCTAATGGTCTGCATTTCAAACATGCACTACTTAAATCTAACTTAATTCTGGGAATGGTCAGCAAGTTTCTGGAGATTTCCCTGAGAAGAGCACAGACTTCCCTGATGATCTCTAACTTAACTAAGGTACCAGTCTTTCTCATTTCCCACAGGGCAGAGTTCTCTTTCTTCAGTCTGGACTTCAAAGCCCAGTTTCCAGAGGCTTATAACTCTGGTTCAAGTTAAAGAAGTTAATTTTACGTGGTCTGGGTTTAATCTCTGATTTCTTGATGCTCAGCATTTATGCATGCTATTCCCTCCATCCCTATTTTAGCCTAAGTTCTATACCCTCTTTAAAAAACTCAGCTTAAATCCTTGCTCTTCTGAACATTTTCCATAGCAATCCTAGCCTTGAGAACCTAGCCTTCCTCCTTTGATCCCATGCAGAATTTACAACATGTAGCACTCACATACAAAGCCTTGTATCATTCTTCACCTATTGTCAACATTCTCAAATGGACTGCTGGCTTTCCAAAATCAAACACTGTGTATTAAGGCAATTCATATCTCCAATGCCTCAAAAATTCTGTGTTCAACAGACTTAGCTCCAGTGCCTCAAAAATTCTGTGTTAACAAAGAAGATGCAGAAGCCTGAATATGAAATTGAATTTTTGATTTTTTTAAAGAAGGGAAGGGCTAGCATGTCATAAATTCATTCAGAAGAGATGCATATTTTAGGCTTTAGACATAATAAACTAAAACTCTAATATATAAGCTGCTTTAAATGACAGGACTCTTTGAGAGTCTGAGAGGCTATCAAGATTTTGTCTAAACTTCAGGGTGTTAACTAAAGCAATAAAACTAAGAATTCAAAAATTGTTAAAAAATATGCTATAATTATACACCTTAGAATTATTAAGTTACAACATTAGCCAGTCATCCATTCCAAAAATGATAGAAAAGCTCTTATGTGTAACATGCTGCTTTGATATTTTTGCAATTGGCAGTGAACAAATCAGTGAATCAAACAACAAAAAAAATTTGCTGTAAATACCTTCAGATAGCGTTCAATATTGTTCATCAAAATATCAATTTCTTCCTTGGACCACATCCCCTGCTTCCATTTATGTCCTTTAAAAGAAAACAAGAATGTTATAGAAAATGTTATTCCTTAAGAGGAATAAAATACTAAAGATTTGCTTTCTGATTAAATATATTGAATAAAATGTAGCTAATTTAATTTCTCATTCTTCTGAACCCTGAAAGATCCCCAGGTAAAGCTGCTTTTGAAACCTGATTTTTAAGGAAGAATACATTTGACTCTACTAATGGTAAGTAAAAGATTAAAAAAAAAATGTTACTTCCTCTTAGTTATTTCTCTCACCCTTTCAGTAGTATAGAACAGCTAAAAAAAAGTTATAAGTATTAGAAGAGCCCAAATGTGATTAAAACCTTCTGAAAAATATCTCCAGTGAAAAATAAATTTTATGGGCAAAATTATATATATGAAAGGTTCTAGGGCAAGGTAAACATAATGCACCAGATACCAAGTGAATAAGATATTCTAATTGAGTATTTACAGTGGTTAAAAACAATTTACTTACTTTTGCTTCCTTTCCTTACTTCAGAGTGGCATGTTCACAACCCCCACTGTCTTGTAGCAGCTTTCTAGCAATCCTTATGAGCATAGCAGCACTATAAACACCATGTGACAGTAAGCCTCTAAGCTATTTATCAGACCAAAGTAAGTAGATCTTTGAAAAGGCTTGAGTTCCTATTCCCATAAGCAGTAAACTATATTGTTTTTTAAATGCCACCACTATCCATTTGTTCAAAAATTAACAGGACAAAAATCTACTTCAAATCAAAAAAATGATCAATTATTAAAAAACAAACGTTAGTTTCATTCAGAGTCATTTAGTGCCAAATTTAATTCAATTAGAATGGCTCAAATTTAATTCAACTAGAAATAAGTCAGTCAGAAAAAGCTAAGAACTGTATGCTTTCACTCGTATGTGGGATATAAAACTGAAACTCAAGACACAGATAACAATATGGTGGTTACCAGATGGAGGGGGTCGGGGTTAGTAAAGGGCAAAGGGGGCCAGATATATGGTGAAGAAAGACAAAGTAACTGTGGATGGTGGGCACACAATGCAATATACAGATCATCTATCATAGAAATGTACAGTCAAAACCTATAGGATTTTATTAACCAGTGTTACCCCAATACATTGAATATAAATACATAAATAAATAGCTCAATTACCATAACTACTCACAATTATGAAGGTCCAGCTCAGAATCTAAATAACTGTAAGCTCTTTTTATCTTCATTTTTTTCCAGGAGACACTAAAATTCACAGTGTATCTTACCTTTGTTAGTCAGAGAATCCTTATCTTCTTTAGTAGTAAACCATGCTTGACTAACTGCTGAAACTTCCTCATTACCCAATGGAGATATTTCATCTAGTTGCTCATTCTGTAGAATCTTGAAAAAGTACAAAAATATATTTGGATATTTATACATAAAATGAGCTCAGACGTACAATAAAAGAAATGCTGGGATTGGGTGTTATGATTGTGAATGTCCTTACAGGTAGTTTTCTTTCCAAAACACAGTCATCTTTAATGTAATCTCTTGTTAAATTTAAAGAGTTACCAAGGTAAAAGACATTATTGCAAAATCATAATCCGCTTACTGTTTACTAACGACTTTTTTTAACCAACCTCTAGAGCTGATTCCTACCCTCGTTAATGTGCCTCCTTCTCCAAGAATTATATGGTACTACTTTTATTATTATTGCAGCTACAGCATTATTTATTGAGAAATGTATAGTTAAAATATAAGCTTTATCGAGATAATTCAAACACCATAAAATTCACCCCTTATATAATTCAGTGGCTTTCAGTATATTTATGCAATTATCACTGGGTACATTTTCAATTACATACATACCTAATCTATCAAATTCTGCAGGAATAAAGCCATTTTTACTTGGGCTAAAGAGAGGAAAATTTGACAACAGTACTGCCATATGAGGTATGAGATTATCACAGACAGACCAGGATAAGGGAGTTACATGCCTAGTGATCATTCAACTGAGTGCAGTCTCTGTAGTGGATCAACGACTAAGTTATGTCACTGGCTGAAGGTAGGTCCTAACCAAGATTGGACTATTTTTTTTTAAAGATTGTATTCAATTATTTTTAGACAGAGAAGGGAGAAAGAAAGAGAGGGAGAGAAACATCGATGTACGGTTGCCTTTCGCATATCCCCTTACTGGGGACCTGGCCTGCACCCAGGCATGTGCCCTGACTGGGAATTGAACCAATGACCCTTTCATTCACAGGCCCACGCTCAATCCACCAAGCCACAACAGCCAGGGCGCTGACTATTCCGTGAATAAGGAAAAAATGAATTTCTATTTCAAGAGGGAATGAAATCCATCTCACTTGGAAAGAGAGAAGTTATCATTGAACCAGCAAAGCAAAATAAGGGGAAAAGCCACACATCTGTTGTCACCTACTTTATTTTTATACCTGGTGGTAATGAATACATTACATTCATAAATGCAGTTTTTAAAAAAAACCATGGGCAAAAAGCTAGAAATCCCTGAACAAGTGTGAAAAGTTTTATAACTGTATTTCTGTGTCATATATCTTAGATTTTTTTTTTCTTTGAAAAACCAAGAGTGCTGTATAAAGCTAAGAATTGAGAGAGACTAGTTAGATAGTGTCTAAGGCCTCTTGTACTGAGAAGATCACATTATATGAATCCGTTGGTTAAAAAGATAAAATCACCATTTAAAAACTTAAAACTACCTCAAAAAGCTTTATACCCCAATCAATTTCTTATGGTAAGATAAAGCCTAAAGTTATTTAACAGCTCAAGTGAAATCACTCCGTGTAGATAAAGAATACACATGCATCATGTTTCACCAGATGTGAACCACTCTACAGGGAATGAGTTTTAAAATCCGATCTTTGCTTACAATTCTAAGACTTACATGTGTAGGGACTTGAAAAACATGAAGTAATTAAGTCTTATTTCAAATTTGTGGTTGCTACTTTGTCACACAAAATGTTTGCACTATTTTATCACCTACAATAGGTGTAAATGATAGTCCTCTTGCAGCTGGTAAAAAGACTTACTATACCTGGATCTGTGTCACAGTTCCCTCAGTGATATCATCATCTGTCACTTCTGTGGTTGCAGTCATGGTCACCTCAAAGCTCTGATCATTTTCTGAAACTTCAAGAAAAAGAACGGTTTAACTCTAGAATGACAGGTTCTAATTATTTTTAAAAATCCATGAAAAAAATGTGACCATCTAATTTCTTAACATTCCTTGCTCATATATGTATGTGTTTAACCAATATTCATTGTGTACCTAATACATACTAGGTATTGCTCTGAGTTATGTGGAGATAGCAGTGAGCTAAAAACCACAAAAACCTTGTCTTTAAGGTGCTTAGATTCTTGTGAGCTAAACAAAAATGAATACGATATTTATGCTGGGTGGTGATAAATAGTAAGAAGAAAAAATAAAGCAGGAAAGGGAATATATTAGAAGAGATACGTTTTTGAAATCTTAGATGGGAGACTAAGAAAAGTAACCAAGGCTTGGTACAAAGTGAGAAAGGGAGCTAGTCAGGTAGGTGTCTTGAGAAAGGGCACTTCAGGCAAAAGCAAAGCTGAGTGCAAAGGCTCTGAGATAGGGGTATGCCTGGATTTTCCTAAGAACAGCAAGGAGGGCAGTGTGGCCAAAACAGACTGAATGAGAACGGTAAGATACTATTTGGGAAATTGTCCAGGGGTGTCCAGCTTGAAGCCCTCGGGCTACATGTGGCCAGGATGGCTATGAATGTGGCCCATCACAAAATTGTAAATTTACTTAATACATTGAGATTTGTGATTGTATGTCATAATGTATTTAATTTGTGGCCCAAGACAATTCTTGTTCTTCCAGTGCAGAGATGCCAAAAGGTTGGACACCCCTGGGCATTATAAAGACATTGGCTTTAACTCTCAGATGGGAAACCAACAGAAGATTTAGAGGATTGATATAATCTTTTATTTTAACAGATCATTCTGGCCAGTATAGGGAAAATAGTCTAAATGGCAGCAAGGGTTGGAGTGAGATCAGTTAAGAAGCTAATTCAATAACCGTAAGATGCGGTGGCTACAGTGACAGCAAGTGAAGGTGATTAGAAGTAGTTCAAATTGTGGATATATTTTGATGGTAGAGCAAGTAGATTTTGTGGATAAAGCAAACATGAAAGCAACTGAAAAGTAGAAGAAGATATTATAGTTTTTTTTTTAATCTCAGGAAATGGAAAAAATGTACCTGCTATGAATGAGATGAGGAAGACTGTAGAAACAATTTCAAAATTTAGGGAGTATCAGGAATGCAGTTTTAAACATATTAGTTTGAGATATCTACTAAACCTCTAGAGTTAAAAGTAGAAGTCTGGCCCTGACCAGGTGGCTCAGACAGTTGAAGTATTGTCCCATACGCCAAAAACTGTTAGTTTGATTTCTGGTCAGAAACACACCTACGTTGTGGGTTGGATGCCCAGTCCACATGCACACAGGACACAACCAGTTGATGTTTCTCTCTCTCTTTCTCTCCCTACCCCCTTCCTCTCTCTCTAAAATCAATAAGCATACCCTCAAGTGAGGATTAAAAAAAGTCTAGAGTAAATCTGGGAGACATCACCAGAGATAAGATTTAAAATAATGAGTTCTAGGGAGTAAAAACAGAAAACAGAAGCAGTCTTAACAACTGAGCCCTGGGGTATGCCACATTTAGAGGTTGGAGAGATGTGGACAAGCTGTCAAAAACTGTGGATAGATAAATTAAGACAAAGACTGAAAAAAAATTACCATTGAATTTAGCAACAAGGTGTCTGGAGACCTGGGAAGACCAGTTTTGGGGAAGTGAGAGAAGCAAAAGCCTGACTAGAGTGGGTTTAAGGAAGAATGGAAGAAGAAATGGAGGCAAGTACAGGCCATCTTTTTAAGGAATCCTGCTCTTAATGGAGCAGGAAAGAGGGAAAGAAGGAAATTGGATGGAAGCCAAAACTAGGCTAATGGGACTTTTTATTTTAAAGAAGAAATCACAGTATGCTTATAATGCCAATGGAAACAATCCAGGAGAGAAGGAAAAAGTGAAGATTCAGAAGAGAAAAAGAACTGCTGCGGCAATGTCTGTGAATAGGCAAAGGGATGGGATCTAATAAATCGAAGGACTGGCTAAGAGAAATGATACAATATATGGACATAGATACATGTGGATGTATATTTGTGGTAGTGAAAACTTAGGTAGGAAGCAAGGTTATTTGTTGAGAGTAAAAATGGTGGAGGAAATAACAGAGGTTTTGGTATGTATGAAATAGTCATCTCAGAGTGGGAGGGAGAAAGTATGGTGAAGTTTGTATGGTGTGACTGGCAGGCAACACCTTGATCCCATTTCAAGTTAATGATCAGCAATTTAAAGTGAGACCAGTTTGCTTGTGCTGTTTTTTTTCCCATTGGGTACAAACATAAATAGGCAGATTTAACCAACGTTGTGATTTCACCAAAGAACAAAAAGGAGAGAAGGAAAAAAGGGCTTGCTGGTAACTTCAAGACGGTGATTACAATGATTGTGAGGAAAGTAGAAACTGGATACAAAAAGAAAAAGTGATGAGATCAATGGATGCTAGTGAGGCAAAGGATCACAGGAGTTTTAAGAGTATTAGAGGAAGTAAGCTGGAAGCATAGAAGTAGTGGTAGGAAACAAAATCTGGAATAGAAAACAAATGGATTCTACTTAATAGGTAATAACAAAGTGGTCACTAGTGGTGAGGCAGTGTGAAGAAAAGCAATAGGAGGCTAACGTACAGCAACAACCATCTAAATCAGTGAACACCAAGGGTTACAACTACAAATGGGGAATGGAGTGAATGCAGTAGTAGCCGACTGCAAAAACAAGCAGCCAGCAAGTGATCCAGACTGATTACCATGAGAGTTAGGAGGACTTCTCGATTCAGACAGATAAATTTTATCAGTTTTATATAGCATGCAAAGAAAACCTGAATATCTTAAGTTAAATTTTTAAAAATTAATATTCACCTCCATGAAGTCCAACAAATGACTTGACTATTGAATCAGTTCCAGATGTAGGTGGATATAGGAGTTAATGCTTTTTTCTTTTTTTTTTGCTCAGTTCCCCCAACCTAGGACTTCATGATTTTGTGACCTTTTAAGTGTGGAAACTTTCCTAAGTTGATTTTATCAACATACTTTTTACAAATCCAGGGAACACACAAATATATCGAGTCTGCTTGTCATGAATTCAATTTCAGTGTAAATATAGGCTCCAGAATGCTCTCCATCAGTGATATACAATGACCCAACATCAAGCAGCTCATGTATTTTTGTCAACACATCCATATTATCTTAGCCATTTACATGAATGAGGATCGGACCAACACCATAAATAGAATGAGTGATAAAATACAGTTTGAACCTACAACCATGATCAAGGCACTATACTTTAAATGAATTAACTTGTCAAAATAATCACTCAAAAATTCTGGCTTAATAACATAAGTCAGTCCTGGGGATGTAACATACATCATGGTGACTACAGTTAATAATACTGTATTGTACATTTGAAAGTTATTACGAGAGTAAATGTTATAAGTTCTCAACACAAGAAAAAAGTTTTAACTGTGTGGTGATAGATGATAATTAGACTTACTGTGATCATTTCACAACACATAAATATGGTGAATCATTATGTTGTACACTTGAAACTAATATGTTACCTATCAATTATAGCTGAATAAAAAAATTGTAGCTTAGAAAATGGCCACCTGGAATTCATCTGTACAAACAGGCCAATCAAGTTTTAAAACTGAATCACAATATAATGACAGTCAAATTAGGAAAAAGTTTTAAAAGATCATATGAATCATCATTAGGAGGAAAGATCATTTAATTAGCAATATTAACAATAGGAACATTAACACTATCAATAAAGTCTCACAGAAAACTGATATAAAAGGATTTCTTTTCTGTAAATTTAATAAGCATTTAAACTTTAAATACAAAGTACATATGTATTTGTGAAAACATGGTTTTCCACAATGAAAACCTAGTCTCAATTTCCCCCCACTGGATTTTGCCTGATGTTGAGTACAGAATGAAAGTTCTCAGATGTGGCAAGACTCTTCTTTATCCAGAGTGACACCCAGAGCCTTGTACCCCAAATTCATTGCCATGACTACCTGCTCCAGCTTTGAGGGACAACATAGTTCAACAACATTCTGTATTTTTGCTAAACAAATCAGAAATACAATCTAATGTCACAGCTGTTGGGCTGTAGACTTTTGCCAACGGTATTCCACCTGAAATACTGTACCTCCTTAGAATCTAGTCTACTCTAAATGATCTTGGAATATAAACATGTTAAAACTTTCCTAGTGAGAATAAACTAATCAGACTCCTATCTAACTTCCATTTAGCTGTTTACCATATAACAAGGCACTACAGCACTGAAGTTAAGAATATGAATCATAAGAACCAGAATGGCTGGGTATTACCTCAGACAAGTTACTGCACCTCTCTGTACCTTAATAATCCCTACTCTACAGCATGCTTTCTCAATGAGGGCAAATATGCTTCTTGTGAGACGTGTGTTAAAAAATCATCTTCTCTTTATTAACTATGCAGGAATATATAGACAGTACATCTCAAAAAAGTACAATATATCCATGGTATTAACATTTCATGGGGGAGAGTTTGATCAAAGGAAAAAAATGTTTTAAAAGACTCCTGGATAGGGGTTTGGGGGCAGTAATATAAAAAAAGGTTGAGAATATTAAATTCAACAATTTATGTAAAAGCATTTCGAACTACACTTGGAACATACATAAGCACACATTAAGTGTTAAAGAGAGGGTTTTTTTTTTTTTTTTGATGAAATGAAGAGAAAAAAGATGGGTTTAAGTCTACCTTCAAATGCCAATTAAATCTCTTCCAAGCTAAAATTTGACTTTAAAAGGAAACTCTGTTCTTAATACATAGTGACTTACGTGGAAGTGCAACAACTGATATGCAAGGAGCAGAATCGTCAATACTCTGATCATCCTCAGAAGACAAACAAAGCCTTTTATGTGGAGGTTCAGTACTATCTTCTGAGTCTATTTCATCAGCTTCTGATGAAACAAAAGAAAACAGAAATCTCAAAATATTCAAAACAGTGAGGAAAACACAAAATCTTCAAGTGATGACTGTAAAACAATCTTCTTACCAATTGGCTCATTAATTAAACTCAGCCATAAAAGTGGGACTCCAAACAGTATTTCCTTCTCTGTGTCTAGTGTAGTACACCTCAGCTCTCATTCTTATGACAAGGAACTATGACAAATGTGGCACTTTTGGGACATCTATTTTTGTCAACTACCTGGCTGTCAACTATCTGGCTTTCTAAATATTTCACATGTAAAGACAAAGGCACGATATTTAATTCACTCACAAATTTACTGAATGCCTACTATGTGGTAGGTGCTGGGAAAAGAACAATGAGTCACCCTGACTGTCAAAGAGCTCACTGAGATGACTAAATTAACAATTTTAAAATAGTATAAGAGCTATGAAGGTAGAATGAAGAGGCTGTTGTATGAGCAGAGAGGAAAGGCATTTTAATTTAGACTAGAGGTGAGGGAAGGTTTCCTGGAGAACATGTCTTCAGCTTGAAAGGGACACAGAGCCAGGGAGAATGATTATCATTGTCAGTAGGAGTAATCTGTGCAGTGACAGTAAGGCATGAAAAGCTTAAGGTATGCTAGGAAAGTACAAATAAATAACCATGAACTAGTAGAACACAGATATGTGAAACATGGCAGGAAGTGAGGTAGAAGGAAAGCTGAGATGATGGGAGGCCTATGTGCCAAATGAAAGAGTCTGAATTATATTCTAAAAACCATGGTAAGCTTTAAAAACTTTCTTACACTGTTGAATATCATAACCAATGTGTCTTCCAAGTTTGAAAGATGAATTAGAGATGAGAGACTGGTTAAAAAGCTATTAAAGCTACCAAGGTGAAAAAATGAACTAAGAAAGGAGGACCTGAGACAGAGGAAGGAACTGATTCAAGAAACATTAATTCTATCAACATATCTTGATGATGGAATGAATGTGGGAGATGAGAGGATTTATTCCTACCCGTACTTATGATCTAGGATACTAAAAGTAATGAAATTCAGAAAGGAAAGGAGAACTAGGTTTGAGAATTTTGTGAAAGAATTAAGTTTGGGACATGTGACATTAAAGGTGGTTCTAAGAAATGGAATTCAGAATAAAGATGGAACTTTGAATCATTTTAATATGTAGGTGGTAGTTAAAACCACAAGTTTGAATGAGATAACCTAGGGATTAAGAATGGATTGAAAAGAGAAAACAAAATCCAGGTTAAGCAAAAGTGAATTTAAAGTAAAATAAACAAATTATAAATAAGAAATAGGTAGAGAAATGAAATTACAAGCTCCAAGGCCGCTAAATCTTAATTAATTACATATGATCATATAAAACCTTATTCAGATAGTCACTTAAAATTCTCTAACAAAGGTGCTAGCAAAAAAAAAAAGTTCATTATTTGTATTGGCACAACACAACTACCTCTACATTTTGTAATATACCACATATACTCTGGTGAAGGAGTGTATTATATTTAATCCATCACCATTTCAGGAGACTCAACAGAGTTTATTTATAAAGTAGCTATTCATAAAAGGTTAAAATTTATGGAAAATTAAAAAATATATCAAAAGCTCTTAAAAATACAAGAATAAAAAAATACAAATTATGATTAATTCATGATCTAAAGGGATAACCCCCTTTTCTACTGTCCTAAACTGTCTATCTCTATAATAAAGGTGAAAGGTGACATGAAATTGAGAAATCCACAAAGATTCACAACTATGCCTGCGAGTTCTCTTACCATTCTGAGGGCAGTGAAGAATGAGGTTTCCGTCTGTATCTCGAGTCAAAGTTACAGAGTTCACAGTTTCTACTGTTACTGTGTCAGAATCCTCTTCAACTGTGCTCATACTCAAATCTGTGTGAGAACAGATTTTAGATTAGAATTTTAAAAATTATTTCCAAATAAGAACATTAAAGTAGCCTCTAATTTCCTCCACTACTCCCTCCCTCCCCTGGCGAAAAACCCACGATTTGTATTTGCCTAGTGTTTTTTTATGTGAAATTGCAGTAACAGTTTAGATTTCAAGCAGTGGTTTTTAAAAGTTTATACCCATTATTTAGAATATAATCTGTAAGAATTGACTGTTATTACTAACTAAAAACCTACAGTATTCACTTTTTTAAGAGTTGGTCTTTACCACATGCAACAAAAGCTGTCTGTCACCTCAGCAAGTCTCACCACTTTATTTTTTATTGGTAGCTCTGTGATACATTTAAATGTTTTAACTTCTGATTCTTTAGAGGATTCATCAAAGCTCTCATCTCAATCTAAGAACTGCTTCTCTAAAACACTCTTTACAGCTGTTATTATCTGACAAGTAGAAACACTAAATAATTCTTCTTAAAGTTTTTTTCATTAATATCAAGCAAGTTCACGCAGCCATCACTGACCAAACTGCTTTTCTCACAGAGATGGAGCTAGGCCTTCTTCTGAAAGAGAACTGTTTTTGTTTAAGCTATTTTTCACATGTAATATTTTTCCTTTTATTTAGACTGAATGATCAGTCATAGAATATAGTATTCATGGTTGACAGGGAGAAATTGATTGAATTACAATCCATGGCCTGGTTGAAGTCTTCAGGCTTACCTTACAATGTTCAATGAAGTTCTTGCTTCAATACTTAATTTTGGTCTTATCCACATAATTTTGGTCTTATCCAATTACCATAATAAAAGACATAAGCCTTCATGTGTATTAAATTAATCACTCATTATTTATTTGGCTCCTATACACAAGATATTAGTGTGTTCATGTATGTGCCATTTACACAAATGCATTTTCCTTATGCGGAAAAACTTAGAATCGATTAACATTTATATGGTGAAGACCCAGTGATTCACGAAAGTTTTACTGTACAAATTACTGTTTTAAAAGGATATCATTTATTTTACAATGATAAAGATGCCATTCCCAAATTAAATATAAATGGAAATCATGATCTGGTCATGATTAAAATGTATAAATCATGAGGAGAGGTCTTTAGAACAGAGGCAGGCTTACCTAGAAAACAGATGGATCAGCTATATCCCTTCCCACAGAAACAAGTCGCCTTCCCTTAGCCACCAGCATCACTTTCATGTTATCCGGACTGTTTCTGCCCCGTGCTCCTACCACTGCAGCACTGAAAAAGTAACAGCATTACACAGTAAGGCTTGTAAGAACACGTGTATGCTAGCAGTATGCTGATGACACCCTAGACTCTGTGCTTTGTCAACCAGAGAAATGACAAAACCAGAATTCATAGGTTTACCTTTAGGAAATCAGCCTCTAAAAGCATTCCCAATGAAAAGCAGAAAGAATGAGATCCCTATATCCATTGAGTCAATTTCAAAGTCAGTTTCTCAACCCAGTTGCCCCTCATCAGAGAGTCAAACATTTTTGCAAACAATAGGTTGAACCATGCTAGTGGTTCTATAAACTAGACTTAGGTACATGTAACATAACCCAGGGGGTACATCAATACATTACCATAAACACTACCAGTATTTTTTCCTTCCTTCATTTACTAGAGGAGAAGGGAGAAAGAAAGAGAGGAAACATCCCTTGGCTGCCTGTCTGGAAGTGTCCCCTGACTGGGAGCTGAACCTTTTCCTTTGTGGGATGATGCCCAACTAAGCAAGCCACATTGGACTGGGCACCATTATCTGTTCTTTGTAATAATTAACACCTGGGAGCAACTGACATCTTGCTCCTTCCATATGTCATCAATTTGGCTCAAATAAACTCTTACAAAAATTCAAAAAGAAAAAAACCAAAACACTGCTCTTTACATAATACCATATTGCATCTCAAAGTGTTAAAAATATGGTATCTGTGAACAACACTGACCAGGGATCTGTGTGGAGGGGGTGGGGGTCCCAAACAGGCTAGAAAAGGTCACTCACAAGCAAGCTTTTAAATGAAACGTGGAACTTACAAAGCCTGAAATGATTGTGTTTTGAAGGTTTCTATTAATAACCTTCTCATCCTCATCCCAAAGAGTTAACCAAAAGTTCAAAAGCACTCATTGAGATTTGAGGTTGGAGAAGGATGTTTCAGCAGAAACTAAGGATTAAAATCCCAATTTTTGGAGTATTCTAATAACACCTCTCCAGGATGGTTATTATTTGAGAATTGCTGTACGTAAGTCTGCAGTGAAAAAGGTATAGGTCTTGCTGGAGAAACCTTCAGTCAGCTATTGTATTTCATGTTGTTCTTATTTGACTCCATCGATTTTTTTTAAAAAAGCTGGTTTGTATATCTACGGCAGAAGACAGAAATTTAATGTTAAAAAAAAAAACACAAACCCTAAAATGACTTATAAATTTACCAAAACCAGAGTTCACTGTCTTTGGTATATGGCTGTGAGAGAGACTATAGTAGATAAGCAATTTTATGTCCAGTTTTTTAGAGTTCATTCATACTGAGATGTGTGAAGGAAACCAAGATGGGTATTTAACTAAGTTTTCTGTATGGTTTAAAACTTACACTGCACAAAAAAAATATAACATTATTTACCAGTTACTCTATCACTGGACACTTATGTTCTTCCCAATTTTTCATTTCCTTAAAACACACTGAAACAAACACTTATACACTCTATTTCCTTAAACAGTATTAGTGAAAGTTAGATCAAAGAACATGAAAATAAATGAAGTCTTAAGTCATATTACCATCTATTCTCCAGAAAGATGCATAAATTTATATCCCAATCACTGATGTGTAAACTCGACTCCTGGTAGCCTTGCCAGTATTTTTATTTAAAAAGACACCGCAAAACAAAAAACAGCACAACTGTTCATTTGATAGGTGCAAAATGGTTACTGGTTTAGCACTTAATTAATGTCATCTTGGGACCCAAGCCAATCTAAAACTTTGGGGGGAATAATAAAGGTGGATCAGAGAAGACATGGTGAGAAAGAACACATGAGAAAAAAGAATATGAAATAGCCAGATGAAAGAAAGTACAGTTGTTACCCTGCTATGTGCAAGTAGAGGGTTCCTATGAAAACTTTAGTAAGCTAAAGTGGTGTAAAAGCAGAGAAATAATTACCATTAATTTACATGAACATTCTTTTTAGCATTCCCAGACCCAGAAAATAACCACCAAATCATACCAAATACAGGCGTATCTTGTTTTATTATATTTCGTAGATACTGCTCTTAAAAAAAAAAAAAACCAACCAAGGTTTGTGGTAACTATGTTGAGCAATTTGATCGATGCCATTTTTGCCAACAGTAATATGCTTACTTCAGGTCAGTGTCGCATTTTGGTAATTCTTGAAATGTTTCAAACCTTTTCATTATTATATTTGTTATGGTGATCTGTAATCAGTGATCTCTAATGTTACTACTGAATTGTTTCTGGGGTGCCATCAAGTGTACCATGATAAGAGAGCAAACTTAATCAATAAATGTGTGTTCTGACTGCTCCACCACCTGGGTGTTTCCCCCCTTTTCCTTCTCCTCAGGCCTCCCTATTCAGGGACACAATATTGAAATGAGGACAATCATTAACCTCTACAACGGCTGCAAAGTGTTCAAAGGAAAGAAGTGTAGCAGGTATGTCTCCATCTTTAAATCCAAAAAACTTAGAAATGATTAAGGTTAGTGAGGGTGGCATGTTGCAAGGTGAGAAAGGACAAAAGCTAGGCCTCTTCTACCAAAGTTAGCTAAGTTAGGAATGTAATGGGAAAGTTCTTGAAGGAAATTAAGAGTGCTGCTCCAATGAACACACAGATTGTAAGAAAGCACAACAGCCTTATGGCTGATAGGGAAGTTTCACTGGTCTGAATAGAAGATCCAGCCACAGCTTCCCTTAAGCCAAAACTTAACCCAGAAACACTCTATAAAATCAAGGAAATGCCTGAAACATGGTACAAAACATTTATAATGGAGTACTTATGCTCACATTTAAATGAGAAATAGTCTTCATTTATAGTGCCCAATGAACAAGATGACACTATTTAAATTATAACAAAAAGAACTCTTAGATGTTACTTAACACAGCATTTAATGCTAAGAAATTAATACTGCATCATTCACCATTCCTACTCCATTGATGTAAAGTCTATTCAGTGGATTATTTTAGACTGTTATCTCCACCTACCGTAATTGTTCTGATTTCCTAGGCAATTAAGTGACAAAGGTCTAAAAACTAGAACCAAGAAAAGTTGACATTTCTTCCTAATTCTGGGACTACTTCTGTAGATAAATTAGTATCACCTCCCAAACAAAATACTAGTACAAGGGTAGAGTCTGTTAATGAAGATCATGAGAAGCACAGGCACTTTTGCTAATCCTAGATGCTTGGAATTGATTCTACACTGAAAGATGGGATGAAACTACATGCTGTGAAAAACACTCACTATTCTAAGATACTTTTATAAGGGAAATCACACAAGATACAGAACATACAGTACCAGAATTTTATTGGATGGGTTAAGAATTGAGAACCACTAGCTAAGAGGCAAAGTTTCCAGAATAGTTCAACTAAATCAGTGAGAACACATTTAGTCTTCAGATGTCTTTTTTCCTGACAAATATTATCATATTCCTCTGTATTCCTCTGTATTCATATTCCTCTGTAACTTTTTTGTGGTACCTCCCAAGTGTGTGTGTGTGTGTGTTTTTTAAGATTTTAGTTGTTATTAGAGAAAGGGAAAGGGAGAAAAATATTGCTGAAAGAAACGTTGATTGGTTGCTTCTTGTACCATGTGACCAGGGACCCAGGCATGTGCCCAGACCAGTGGCAGAACCAGCGACCTTTTGCTTTGCAGGTCAATGCCAAACCAATGGAACCACACCCATCAGGACTCTCAAGTCTTTTTTTCCCCACGTATTAACATTTCTATTTTCAGTTGTTTTTATAATAATGCGATCCTATTGTCACATCTTTTACAACTGTTTTTGCATTTACTTTATTAAGAGCATTCTCTATACTTACTACTCATTCTTCCACAGCATTTTTAGTGGATACATATCTAAATTTACCTAATCATTAACCTGTTACTGAACATTTTTGAGGGCTTGCTATAAAGACTCCATATTGACCATCATTATGCCTATCACTGCATATAAGAAATACCTTAGAAAGTGGTTGTAAGTGGATTTCCTTAGTAACATATAATGAAAAAATCTAAAAAATGTTTTAAGATATTTTTATTTTTAAAGAATGAAACTCTTCACTAACCAGATATATCCCGAAACTGGGTTACACAGAGGGATGCCAAAAAACCCCCAAAATAAACCTTGAATATTGATTTTATTCAAGATAGGAATGGGGGACACGTCATACTTGAAATTGAATGTTTTGGAATATGGTCCCAGGGGATTTTTTCTTCGGTATACTTTGTGGAAGTCTAAGAAGCAGAGCTATAAATGAACATAAAGCATACTGAATTAAGGTACCTAATTAATGATCATTATGGCTTGGTTTTAAGATGGTAAATACGACTGTACACCATGAAAAGTCAATAAAGATGTCAATGGAGTTTATTATAGATTTTAATTGCTTAAGGTGTTGATTTCAATTATCAACAATTATTAGAATTACTTGGCAGTATTACAAGGAGTAGCATTTTATATCTGCTTGGCAATATAATCATATTGTTTATTAAAAACCAAGAATGTTATTTTTTACCCAGTAAATGGTTTGTGAACTTATAGTGTGTATAGTTGGCTACATTTTACAGTTTCACTAATTTAAAACTGAGCACTTTATGCAGAGCAGGATCAGATCTTTCAAGAAAATACATCAAATTATCACTATAGTCCTTTGATTTACACTGAAGTTGATTTTTAAAGTGCATTTATTTCCTCAACAGACATTAAAATACTCATAGGTAGTGCATAAACCTAATGAGCATTTCTTTTGCTATTAACACCTGATGGTAGTTAAATAAAGATTAGCTTTGACAGCTTGGTGCTTCGAAGCATGGGTAGACAACACAACACTGTACATAACCAAACGACTGGAAAAAATGGGGTGGCAGGGTGGGGGTAATGTTCCAAACAAAACCCACATCGTTCATAAAGGGCTCTTCAGTGTCCTTTTTCCTGACTTATTTCTGGTATCCAGTCACAGGATGGGTTCTCTCTCCACCAACTTAAAAAAACGTAGACTTGATAAACAAGTTTTTTCATTTCAATTTATTGTTTACCTTTATGAAATCAATCAAAGCAAAACAAAACCTATGTTTGATTTTTATTATAAGAATTCTCTTCACAAAAGGAAAAAACATGAAAAGGGGGAGAAATGATATGAAAGCAAACAAATGCCACTCTTTTTAACTATCGGTATTTTATAGTTAACACAGCAATTGGTTCATCATTTTCTCAGGTCATTTCATATCATTTGGGGATAGGAAGAGATTTGGAGCTGAAACTGCAAAGCATTCAGAAAAATAGGGAATCCTTTTTTTTATGGAAAAATAAAGTGCTAATGTGACAGTGATAAAATTGAGTATGAAAAGAAAACTCCATTTTGAGAAGGGTGGCTAACAACCCCCCAGTATAAATTATTAAATAGGCAGCTTCTATATATTTAAAGTGGAACTCTTCCTATACTTTATTGCGGTTCAAGAATTTTTAAGAGATTTATTTAGCCCTGGCTGGTGTAGCTCAGTGGATTGAGCGCGGGCTGCGAACCAAAGCATCACAGGTTTGATTTCCAGTAAGGGCACATGCCTGGGTTGTAGGCCACGGCCCCCAGCAACCGCACATTGATGTTTCTCTCTCTCTCTCTCCCTCTCTCAAAATAAATAAATAGAGAGGGGGAGGGAGGGAGGGAGAGAAAGAAAGAAATATCAATGTGTGGTTGCCTCTCGCACCCCTTTCTGGGGACCTGGCCTGCAACCCAGGCATGTGCCCTAAACTGGAAATCAAAGAACCTGTGACCCTTCAGTTCAAGAGTTTGCACTCAATCCACTGAGCCCCACCAGCAACGGCTGTTCTGAAGTTTTGATGTCTTTACAACACACACTTTCAAAACACTTCCCAACCCCTTAATAGTTTAACATTTATGTGCCTGGCTGTGAATCCCTAAGGACACTTGTTTCACATTATCTTATTTTCACAAGTGTTAAACCAATGTACTTAAAGGAGCATGACAAAAACAACTGTTCAAAATGACAAGATGCTACTTTTAGGACAGATTCATTACAACATTAATAAAAACTGAGATCTGTAGATCTTGGAGAGATAAATGAAATGAGTATAAAGATAAGCATTACATGGGGGAAGGTAAGGACTAGTTTTGTTATTCTTATTTCAATACTAGTAACATCTAAGTAACCTGAAAAATATCTGCCTTGAAGTGAGATGAGGTAACCTTTCTCCATCTTAAACAGAGAACAACTTAAGTGGACACCTATTTCACTTTGACATAACTGTCTACCATTAACCATCTCCTAGCCATGCTCTCCCTTCAAAGCTCAACTCCTAACTTCAAAACCTTTTTGAATGCTTCCCCTCAGAATACTTGTAAAACCTGGACACCCAGAGAAAAATGTTTATATAGCATAGATTTATTCATATAATTGCTTCAAGTATGGAGTTAAAGTTCTAAGTTATGTATGCAATGCCCAGTACTTACTGATTAACTGTTGATGGAGATAGTGCAAGCATTTTGGCTCCACCATCTAGCTCAACTGCAATCAATTAAAGAGATTCACGCTGAATATGCAGGTCTAGATCAGTCGCCCCCCCCCCCCCATCACATTTTGGGATGAGCCTATCAATATAATAGTAAAAAATAAATAAAATGAAATTTGTTTGGTGGCAAATAAAAGCACTTAATATATGGGAGTTAAAATGAGATAAAATAACTACAAAACATAAAATGCACTTTTCCCCAAAACTAATAATGCCTTTTTCAGAAAGGATCAAACTATTTTTTTATCCCTTATGAATAAAGAAAAAAGTTTATTTTCATACCACACAGCCTATTTTATTTTTTAAAAATTCAGTCTGACAGTTTTTGTAATGTTAAGAAATGTAACTTTAATTTTTCCCCTAAATCTTAACTAAATTTCCAAATCTTAACCTACTATAATAAAAATCTTAACACTGCTACAACACAATAGTAAAAAGCTGAGTTTTTGATGTATGATCACCAGAGTCTATAACCATTAAAGTGGTGGCAAATTGCTCAAAGTACAAAATAATAACAATACAAAGTTATTCGAAACACAAATCTAAAACCAGCTCAAGTAACGAAAAAAAAAATGACAATCCATAACTGAAAACGAAAAACAGATTTTATTTGTAAAACACAACGGAAGAGTATTTTCTTACTCGGACTGGATCTTAAAGGTCTAAGTGGTTAACTGTATCACAAGAATTAAGGGTATAATCATTAGCAAAAAATAAAGAAAAATTACAAATGGAAAAAATTACAACGGGTATTATTCTAAGCTTTAACAATGATTAGAAAGTAATCCTACAGAATACACACGTTGTCGGATGTCCCAACATGAAACCTCGCCTACTGTCAGAAATGAGGTACTCGACGATGAATCAAGTTAGGAAAAAAACAACCATACATTGAAACCGAATTTCCAAATTCAATCAGGGAAAGGGAGTCCTGATAATATTATCACCCTCTCCTTACCTACATCGACTATTTTTATTAAAAAACATATGCTGTATCATCATCCAACTGCACAGGAAGGCATTGGGACACTCTTTTCAAATCTACGCCGGAGCCTGGGCTAAAAACATTCTACGTCCCTAAGAGATATTTAAAGTCTGTTTTAAAGGACACAGATTTAAAAAATTTAAAAGCTTCCTCAGAACTTGGGCAAATCTTGACAATTATCTGTCAACGCATATTACGGTTCTCTGGTCGGTTAGGACTGTCTTCCCGCAACCCAGCCCAGGTCCCTCCTTTTTTCAAAAGAGGCTCAGGCTGACAGAGACAGTTCGACCAGTAACCCCGAGTCCCTCTGCCTGGGCCGTGAACAGCCGAGCGACCGTGAATCTAAAATGATGGGAGAAGAATCTAAGACGCAAACAAGGGGGAAAAAAATCAAGGTGGGTGGGGCGAGACCCACCTCTTCTTCACTGAACCACATTATACAAACAAAAAGGTAACAAGAAAAAAAGAAAAAGAAAAAAGAGAACACCACAGGGAGCAAGGAAGGCTTCGTCACTTTCCGCATTCCCGGGCCCAATTCTCTACCGAAGATCCCGGCCCGACCCACCCCACCCCCAGGGGTCCCGGCGCCATTTAGCTCCTCCAAAGCCGCCGCCATTTTCCGCCCCCGCAGGACTGCTCTGCATTGGCGGCCGCTCGTTACCCTACTCTGCAGCTCAAGCCAGCACCACAGGCCCAGCCCCGAGAGGGAGGCCCTGGCCTGAGCGTGCGGGGACGGCAGCTTCAGCGTCACGAAGGCCCAGCAGCGACCCCGCCCGCGGTGCCCGGGGGCCGGCAGCTAGCGCCGGCCGGTGGGAGCAGGCGGGCAGCAAGGGGGCCGGACAGACTCCACTGGGCGGAGCGGCCCTGGCGGCGGTTGGAACCTGAAGGTTCCATCGCACTTACTTCCTGTTTTGGGTCCGGGCACTTTGGAAGAACCAGGATGAAGGCTCCAAAAAATACCAGGATGGAGGAAGCAACCACGGGCAAGAGTGGCTGCAGCTAGAGTAAGCGGACGCGACAAGCCACCGGAAACGGAGCTACGGCCGCGCCCCGCCCCCAGCCCCCGCACGCTCCCCCTCCCGCTCTCCTCTCCTTTGGGACGGCCCAGCGAGCCAGATACTACATCACTTCCGTCCGAGTGGGAGCGCGAAAAAAGATCCCGGTTTGTTGCAGGAATAATGATCCCAAATTTTTGGAGCTTCAGGCCAGGTCTTTGTAGCGATGTTTGTGGTCTGCTGTTGTCTTCCACTCCTTCTGCTAGGAAATTCCTATACGGATTATTCCGCTGCTGATGACAGATCATATATGTATATTTTGGCGCAACTGTTGTCCTTTTGGTTTTGGAGAAATCTGGGCTCCGCGCGCGGCCGAGTTTCATAATTCTCCGGGGCTTGTAGTGGAGGGAGCGGCGGGTAGGAACTGCTTGAAAGCGGGGTCTGAATGCAGAAGAAAGCCTGGAATTGTGTGTGTCACTACACACTTGGTCTGCTTTGCCTGAGACGGTTAAAATCAGATGCAACCTGTTTGGGTGTGTGATGCAATGCAATTCTTGGGGAAATGCATCCTGAGTGTTGAAAGATGCTATTCTGTAGTGCACAGTCAGTCGTCTTAAACTACATTTCTACGCTGGCTGGTTTTGTATCTAGGAAGATCTTAGAGAACACCAATAGTCGGACCCCACCCCTAGGCCAGCTTTTAGGAAACTTCGTGAGACCCTGGCAAAGATTTTGTTTTTAGAGTTACAGGGCTTTGAAAATCAGAAGATTGAGTGGTCTGAACCCTATTACAGCTCTATGATTCTGAGCTCATTTTACTTGTTTATAAAACTAGACTTATTGTGCTCTGCTTTTGTCAACTGGGATTACAGGAGTTCAAAAGTTAGTCTTCGCTAATGTAAATTGCATCCAGCAATTATGTGTAGATGCACGCACCCTACATTGTCACTATGGGAATGCAGTCACTATTTGTTTTAAAAGTCAGATGGAGGCTATCAAGAAAGTGAATGTATACATCTAAATTGGTCTTAAATAACTAATGAAGTTAGTACTTAGTGACTTGTTTTCCTGTATTATTTTATCTTTTTTTTAATCTATGCAACCTGGTTTCCTTTGAATACGAAGTTTAGTTGAAAGAGTTGGTGAAAACCCTGTCTGGTGTAGCTCAGTGAATTGAGCGTGGGCTGTGAACCAAAGGATCATCAGGTTGGATTCCCAGTCAGGGCACATACCTGGGTTGTGGGCCAGGTCCCCAGTGGGGGGCCACGTGAGAGGCAACCACATATCCATGTTTTTCTCCTCTTTCTCCCTCCCTTCCTCTCTTTCTAAAAATAAGTGAATAAAATCTTAGAAAAAGAAAGAAAAGAAAAGCCGTCTTTGACCAGAAAAAAAAAAAGACTTGGTGGAAGTGAGACTAATTCATTAAAAAAACATTGGGATGGGGGAGGAGCAAACTATATCCCCATATGGGATTAGAAAACTTTTTCGATTTTAAGACAGATGTACAGTTTCACCAGTAGTCTACATTACCCTTCTATTCCTTGGGGGTACATTTCTCAATCATAAATGTATTTCAGAAAAAAATGCTTAGGCAACAATGAGATAGCATTACACAATTATTAAAATGCTAAAATTCAGAACAATGACACTACCAAGTGCTAATGAGTACAGGAGTGCTCATTTGTTGGTAGTGGTAATGCAAAATGCTACAGCCACTTTGGAAGACAGTTTGGCAGTTTCTTATAAAACTAAACACGTTCTTACCATATAGTCCAGCAGTCACACTCCTAGGTATTTAGGCGAATGAGTTGAAAACTTATGTCTACGGAAAAACCTGAACATTGGTATTTATAGCAACTATATTCATAATTGTCAAAGCTTGAGAGCAACCAAGACGTGCTTCAGGAGTTAAATGAATGAATTGTGGTACATTTATAAATACAATGGAATACTAGCCAGTGCTTAAAAAAACACAAACTATCAAGCCATGAAAAAACATGGAGGAAACTTAACTGCATATCACTAAGTGAAAGAAGTCAATCTGAAAAAGTTACTATATTCATAATTGTCAAAGCTTGAGAGCAACAAAGACGTGCTTCAGGAGTTAAATGGATGAATTGTATAATTCTAGTTACTGTATAATTCTAACTATATGACATTCTGGGAAGGGCAAAACTAAGGAGACAGTGAAAAGATCAGTAGTTGCCAAGGTTTGGGGCTGGACAGAGAGAAACAGAGCACAGGATTTTTAAGGTTGTGAAATGATTCCATATGATCCCTAATGGTAGATACAAACCATTATACATTTATCAAAACCCATAGAATGCACCAAACCAATAATGAACCCTATTGTAAACTATGGACTTGGGTGTTAATGATGTGTCAATGTTGGTTCATTATTTGTAACAAATATACCACTCTGGTGGGAATTGTTGATAATGAGGAGGCTGTGCATGTGTCCTGTGGCATGGGTAGGGGGTAAGTATATATAGAAAATATCTGTACCTTCCCTTGAACTTTGTAGTAAATCTTAAACTGCTCTAAAAAAAAAAGTCTATTTTGAAACGAAGGGAAGTATGAACGGGCTTAAATAAGACTGAATTTGGACAATGTGAGGTAACATTTTTTGAGAACGTATATGTCAACTAAGTGCTTTACATGTATTAAACTCATTAATGTTTGCAGTTGCCAAATGCATGAGTACAGTTATTACAAATGAATCCTGTTTTAGACAGGACCCAAAAAGAAGTGAAGGAATATGTCTAAGGGCACAGAGCAAGTAAATGGAAGAGTCAGAATGGAAGCCTCAGCTCTAGAACCTATGATCTGAACTCTGCAGTTGATAAAATTCACTTTGGCAAATGGTCTTTGTAATGCAAGCAAAGTAATAGAACCAGTTTCCAGAGGCTAAACTGAAATGGAAGGTGCACATGTTTGACCAATTTTCAAAAATAAATCCCAGAAATAGCATTTGATTGCATATAACTTTATTAACAATTTATGGTACTTTCTGTATCCTACTGTGGTTATGACATATATCATTCAATTTTTTTAATGAGTACATAAGTAATATGTAAACAAAACCACGGGACAGTGTTGTGGTATAGTTGTTGGAGTCAGACCCAAGTGTGAATCTTGGCTTCATTGCTAGTAGTAAACATGGTGCTTCACCTCTCTAAAGCATTATTTGCTTTTGAAAATGGGATAATAAAATTTATCTCCCAGAACAATGATTTCAACATGCTTTGTGCAGAGCCTGACATGTGTTAAGCACTGAAAAATGGAAACTTCCTGATGCAGAAAAGCAATTAAGCTACTCAGAGAGCAGTTGTAATGAAATAATAATCCTATGTATGAAAGTATTATCATTAATGAGAAAGTGGTTCCTAACCACTGGAAAGTTAGCCACAGTTTGCATACCGCATAACCATATAGGATTCTTTTCACTATGGCTAATAGAGCAATATCTAAATTATAATCTGGCTGCCCATTCTCTTCTGCAAAATCTTAGGTCAGCCTGCACACTGCAGTTAATTCCCTAAAAAAGTCATTTGCATCCTCATAATTCTCCCTTTCTAATGAGTATCATTACTACCTTTTTCCAAGGTCTGTTGGTATTTCCTTGGGGAGGACAATGTATTTTAACATTGATTTAATACATAATTTAAAAAAGTAAATTCAACATCCATTTATGATAACTTAACAACTGAGTACAGAGGAAATGTACCTCAATTTAATAAAGGCCATATACGACAAGCCCACAGCTAACATCATACTCAATGGTATAAAGCTAAAAGCTTTTCTCTGAGATCAGGAACAAGACAAGTATGCTCACTTTCACCACTTTTATTCACTATGGTGTTGGAAGTCCTAGCCAGAGAACAATTAGGCAAGAAAAAGAAATAAAAGGTATCCAAATTGGAAAGGAAGAAGTAAAACTATTTGCAGCTGGTAAATATGTTCCCTAAAGGCTTCATCAAAAAGCAAAACTAATTAATGAATTATGTTGTGTTGCAGACTACAAAATACACAAAAATCTGGTGCTTTCTATACACTAATAAAAACAGAAGAAAACAATCCTATACACAATTGCATTAAAAAGCATAAAAATACTTGGAATAAAGTTAACCAAGGAAGTGAAAGACCTGTATATTGAAAAATATAAACCAATAATGAAAGAAATGGAAGAAAACACAAATAAATAGAAGATATTCTGCACTCATGAACCAAAAAAATCAATATTGTTGAAATGTTCATACATCCAAACAATATACAGATTCAATGGAATCTCTATAAAAATTCTAATGAACCCTGGCTAGTGTGGCTCAGTGGATTGAGTGCCAGCCTGCAAAATGAAAGGTTGCTGGTTTGATTCCCAGTCAGGGCACATGCCTGGGTTGTAGGCCAGGTCCTGAGTTGGGGGCGTGAAAGAGGCAACCGATTGGATGTATCTCTCACACATTGCTGTTTCTCCCCCCTCTTTCTTCCTCCTCTCCCTCTCTCTAAAAGTAAATAAAATCTTTAAAAAAAAATTCTAATGATACTTTTCACAGAAATGGAACAAGCAAGTCTAAGATTTGTATGGAACCTCAAAAGATCCCAAGTAGCCTGATCAATTTTTAGAAAAATGAACACAGCTATAGGCATTATGTTCCTTGATTTCAGACTATATTACAAAGCTATAGCAATTCAAATAATATATTTGCATATTATATAATAATTATATTGCATATAATATAATAATAATATAAAAACATACACATAGATCTTTGGAATAGAAAGCCTAGAAAGAATGCATATACAGTCAACTAATTTATTACAAAGGAGCCAAGAATATATGACTGGAAAAGGACAGTCTCTAATAAATGGTGTTGGGAAAATTGGGTAGTCAACATGCAAAAAAGTGCAACTGGACTACTGCCTTAAACCACACACAATAATGAACTCAAAATGGAGTAAAAACTTGAACATAAGACTTGAAACCATAAAACTCTGGGAAGGAAACATAGGCAGTAAGCTCCTTGACATAGGTCTTT